CACTGTTTTTTGTTTGAAGTATACAGTTGGCTGTATTCCAGGACCACTGGAATTAGATCTAGCATGACACCACTTTTTCTTTTCAAATACTGAAACCTTGAGTATCGGCCAACCCCAATCTGATACTTCATCTTTAAATATTCATCCACTTTTAAACTAGCACTTCACTTAAGATCATCAGAGGTAGACTATCATGCTCCAGCATTCTAGTACCCCACTGAAAGAAATATACAGCTAACAAGCTCATGTCAGACAATGAGTGTGGGCTATTTCAGGATAGATTTGTTACAGGGTTCGATCAGATTCCTTCCTTTCTTCCTCTGATATTTAGCATATTCTGATAACATCACCCAACACCAATTCTAACTGGAACAGACGAAAAAGGCTGTGTTTACAATCTTCTGGTTCATAAATAAATGTCACTTTGTAATGCTTAGATGACTCTTAAAGCATTCGCAGCTCAGAAATCAAGCTAAAAACTGAGCATCTCTCAGCACACAGAGAAAAACACCAGACTTCTAGGAATAAATGTAGCAGTGGTAATGACCGGTTAAGACTGAGGTGTTGCTTGACATCCAGACAGCAGTCTGATCAGCTTTGCACATGCTTACCATGTGGTAAAGCCTTTAGTGACTTGGGCTCTTGTGGTGTTTCCGGCACAGACCTCAGGAGACCTTTACCTACACCTGTGCCACACACACTGACACACACACTGATACACACACACTGATACACACACACACTGAGACACACACACACACTGATACACACACACAAACATACAAACACACACAGGACCCTTCACTTCCATGAGTCCATGAGTCAGCCCAGTGAAAGCTCTCACAATCAGTCCACATTAGGAACTCTACAGAGCTGGCTGAGTGCATATGGCCAACAAGGGAACGAATGCAAAGGTTCATCTTGACATGATGGAGAGCTGAAGCTAAAAATAACTCATACTAGGAAATGCCTCGGGTTGTGTAAATTATTCCATCTAACTCATTCCTGTGTCTTATTGCTATGTCAGTTGGCGTGGCTAACTATTTAAGACTTCCTTTTGGCCATGAGAGAAAGCCATAAAGGCCAACCTACTGTAGGAGAAGCTGGAGCGCTCAAAGGAAACACGCAGGACTATTCACTCACTCTACACTCAGTGCTGGCACATACACGCTCCATATTTAGTTCAGGCTATAAAAGCTTGTTAAGCCATTTCTGAAGACACATATAGATTGACACATGGCACAGAGAGCCTATATATTACACTTCTGTCACAGGCCTTCTATAGGCCTATGCACTGATTCCTGATATGAACACATTCTACATGCACCATTTGTTAAATACAAGCAAAAAAAGTAATACATTATTTAAAAATCCATTTAGCACTGTAAATATTTTACAATGTAAGGTGCTGGATCTCGCCTTTTTGGATTTTTAGATAAGACTATATAACACAAACACATGCTATTAGCACTTGGTGTAACTGTGCCCAGATTTACATTCAGGATGCACAATGATACAAGGATCATCTCAGTACTGGCAGATAACTGCTTTAAAAAATCATTGGCCAGACTTGACCAATATTTCAAATATAACAGCATATTAATTGTACTCCAGATGAAAATGTTTAGATAATGATGGGTTACTGTGCTAAAATGTCTTGGTTCATTTTACTGTATTTGTAATTCTCTATTAATAAATGCTATTTTTCTCTGAAATGCTAATCTAGGTAGCTCTAGTCCCACTTTCTTCAGTTTATGTAGCAGCATCTGTGTGAGCATTGGCAGATATCTACATAAAAATCAGCCCAAACAGCCCAGTATTCCTATGGCAATATAGCGGTGGATCCCCAGTGTTGACTCTTCTGATGATCTGGAATCCCTCATTGTGTCTTTTTTTTCATGATTTCTGTTCTTTTGTACTAAATGCATACGGATATATTAGGTCACATTATCACGTAATGTTTCAGTTTCAATGGATATTGCTACCACTATAATAGTGGTTGGGAGAAAAAGATAAATACAGCATAGTATTATGATGTTTTAGGTTAAAAAAATAATAGGTACTGATATACTGCGGCCCAAAATTGAAGCCTACTCGTAGATACGATACCAAAATGCAAACAGATAATGTTTTTAGGAAGGCATGATTAGCAGTCAAAAGTAACATATTACAATAAAAAGCTATATATTACAATATCATACTGCTATACTTTGCAGCAAAATCATGTTGTGTATATACAAAAAGTACTGTAATATTATTGTATTGTGAGGCCTCTAGTGATTCGCGCTAGAGATGCACCTCTATGGGAACATTTCGAGAATATTTCTCATGTACATATCTGCTTATGCTGATACCTAAACATTTATATAATGTAGAAACTGGAACTAAACCCAGCTGGATTAGCAATTAGAGAAATATAATATTTCTTTCTAAAGGATTACAAATGCAGTAAAATGAACAAAATGCTTTTAACGTAGTGACATTCTGCTTTTCTGGAATATCAGTCAAAGCTAAACGTCTGCAGATAATTTCCATGCAATTATTCGCCAGTGCTGATATGAGTCTGATAGCACCCGTACAGAAATCTGATATGGTAATATACGTATTTCAAATGTATGTCAGATATTAGCATGTATGTGTTTTCCTTATATCCAGGTTATATTAGTCACATATGGACATATATGTGACATATACACCGAATTATTTGGAATTGGCCATTTTGAAACGTTGTCCATATATGACCATATACCAACACATGTGTAATACATATAATTGAACAATGTAAGACAGAAAACATTCATATGTAGATATGTGGCGTATATTACTTCTATATGATCTTCTTTGTCTCTCCCACATACTTCCTAATGAAGTAAAAATGAGTGTTATAGCTACATACATAAACACTAAAAGCATGCACATTATCAGATGTGCAATAAAATCATTAAAAGTTGAAATTAATGAAAACATTTAAATAATACTAACAAAACAAATAATGGTAGCAATTATAACTGTACAGCTATGTGTTTAAATATATATGTATGATTCATATATTATGTATATATGCCAAATATTTGGCACATATACAGATTTACATAATATTTACACTGATCAGTCATAACATTATGACCACCTCCTTGTTTCTACACTCATTGTCCACTTTATCAGCTCCACTTACTATATAGGTGCACTTTGTAGTTCTACAGTTACAGACTGTAGTCCATCTGTTTCTCTGCATACTTTGTTAGCCCCCTTTAACCCTTTTCTTCAGTGGTCAGGACCCCCATGGACCCTCACAGAGAAGGTACTATTTGGGTGATTGATCATTCTCAGCACTGCAGTAACACTGATGTGGTGGTGGTGTGTTAGTGTGTGTTGTGCTGGTACGAGTGGATCAGACACAGCAGTGCTGCTGGAGTTTTTAAACACTGTGTCCACTCACTGTCCACTCTATTAGACACTCCTACCTTGTCAGTCCACCTTGTAGATGTAAAGTCAGAGACGATAGCTCATCTGCTGCTGCACAGTTTGTGTTGGTCATCCTCTAGTCCTTCATCAGTGGTCACAGGATGCTGCCCACAGGATGCTGCTGGCTGGATATTTTTGGTTGGTGGACTATTCTCAGTCCAGCAGAGACACTGAGGTGTTTAAAAACTCCAGCAGCACTGCTGTGTCTGACCCACTCAGACCAGAGCAACACACACTAACACACCACCACCACATCAGTGTCACTGCAGTGCTGAGAATGATCCACCACCCAAATAGTACCTGCTCTGTGAGGGTCCATGGGGGTCCTGACCACTGAAGAAAAGGGTTAAAGGGGGCTGACAAAGTATGCAGAGAAACAGATGGACTACAGTCTGTATAGTAGAACTACGAAGTGCACTAATATAGTAAGTGGAACTGATAAAATGGACAATGAGTGTAGAAACAAGGAGGTGGTCATAATGTTATGCCTGATCAGTATATATGTACATATACTTTAAAACATATGCCTGACTCTTATGATACCTGTGCATATATGGCCATATATCAGCTTTTCGTTTGGGTATCGTGTAGCTCTAGCTTCCCACCTCTAATTACAATGACATATTCTATCCCTTCTCATCATCTTAAAGCGCTCTTAAACTGCTGGTTCCGTTCTAGAGATTCATCCCCATGTGCAGCGGCCTCCGCCTCAACATCTCAAACGTTTCGCATCTGCTCGACATCTGAAGCACTAACTCAGTATTATGTCAGGAAAACTGCGCCGTTCAGATCCTGTCGTTCCAGTCACAACATCTGAGACGAATCTCGCGTCCAAATCTTTCCTCTACAGTCAGTGTGAGCGCTGCACTGGAGCTGCTCCTCCTTTCCGACCTGTCCATCTCCTCCTCTGTCTGATTCCAGACCCAATGGAGAGTAAACGGATATGACTGAAACACAGCAGCCGAGACACGCTGAGATACGACGAGCTTTCAGCAAAGACGAGGCTGAATTCAGCTACCTATTCGAATTATCCCGTTCCACCTTAAATGGTGCAGCAGCTACATTCTGGCGCCTCTTGTGCGAATTGATCCGTTCCACCTTAAATAGTGCAGCAGTTACAGTCTGGCGCCTGAGCAGCCTGAGGCGCCAGAATGTAGCTGCTGCACCATTTAAGGTGGAACGGGATAATTCGAACAAGACGCTGGCGAATGAATCAACTTCAGCAAAGCCAGCAATCACAGAATATCATCTTTGTCCGCTGACTCTCGTTCACACCCTGATTCCTCTGACCATTTTACGCCGTCAGCACAACAGACGACAGGTGACGAGTAGAGTGGGCGATTTCACAGGCCCACCGACAGCACGAATAAAGGATAATAATGAAAAATAATAATAATGCGCATTAAACAGCGATGTCATTCTCAATCAGAGGCACGTCACGAGGCTGAAAGTGCACCTTTTCATTATTAAAATTCAACCAGCTGCCGCTGTTTTTCTTTCACGTTTTGTAATGTCACGTTTGCTCTCCTGCTTACCTCATTTTACCGTTTTCTCCAGCACGAATGAATGAATTCACGAAGCGGAGGCGGCGCGGTGTGTCTCCGGACAATCAGCGGCGCATTTACTCTCAGCACGGCCCGATTTTCAGATGTGGAGAATCACAAAACATAAAGATTTCAGAAAAAAGCGTTCAGATTTAGATGGATGATGAAGCGACGCGACACCGGTCCGCGGATGGTGGGCAGCGCAGCTTTCTCAAAGGCTCGGCCAGCTGAGGGGCGTTTACATGTGGCGACTTGTGCTCATATGAAACTGAAATTAATTCCATGTTCAGACGAACATCGTTGTGGATTTTTACGAGTGGCGAACGCGCTCCAGAGATGCCATTTTTCCTCCCTCGTGATGTGAGCAGTGTGAGGGGAGCGTTCTCTAAACACTGTCCGTAAACCCCCGCCCTCTGGTGGCCAGCTTCAAGTACTGCAACTGACTTGACTGGCACGTTGAGTGGTAGAGGAGCTAAAACCACACACTAGAGGTGGGCGATATGGCAAAAATGTACATCACGATACTTCAAAAAGTTTGTCACGATATATATTTTCTCTAAAATGCAATAAACTGAAATATAATGATTACGTTCCACATTTCACATAATGCACTGCACTATATCCAATAAAAAAGGACTATGCTCTCTTTGTACTCAAACGTGCAGTTGGTAAGTGTTTTTAAGTAGTGACGATATCCGCGATATGCTCAGAAAAGCATACAGGGATGCAATTTATCACGATAACGATATATATTGTCATACTGCCCAGCTCTACCATGTACTCAGGTGGTCCTGCTACAATCAAATGAAAACTCAAGCTGAAGTAAAAGTAGCCACCAAAAACAACTTAGGAGTGAGTAAAAATTATGTCCAAAAATTATTTACTTAGCACCTTATAGAACTGCAATGAACTCATCTCCTTCAGAATAGAATTCAGAATAGAATTCTTTGGCAATAATTTAGCTTGTAACGTTTGGAGAAAGAAGGGTTTCATGTATGATTCCAAGAACACCATATATACACCTGCTGACTGTGTTTTATGAAGTAAAGTATGAAGGTGGGAGCTGCTTCTCTGCAAACAGTACTGGGCCATTAAACATCACCAAAGGAAACATGAATGGAGTGACGTACTGGAACTTCATCGGTCAAGAAATTGAATCTTGGCAACAACCACAAAATAAAGTCCAAATAACTCAGGCCTGCTAAAACAGAAGGGGGGTGTGCTTGTATGGCCTAGCACATCGGCTGAGTTCAATACCAAAAACTTCTGGAGGATTTTGAAATTGTGAATCCATCAGTGCCTGACCTCACAAACGCTCTTGGCTAAATGGCTAAATGCAATCAACTCCTCACAGCAATGTTCCAACATCTAGTGTAAAGCCTTCCCAGAAAAGTATAGACTGTTACTGCAGCAAAAGGCAAACAAATTCCCAATTAATACCCTTGATTTCAGAGGAAATGTTGGAAAAGCAGGCATCTACAAACTTTTGAAGTATATAACTGCACAAAATTCAATCACAACAGATCAATCAGAACAAGTTTTGTGGCATTTTTCCTCATCATACTAAAGTTATTTGTTGGACATGAATAAGTTAAGACCATCGCCTAAGGCCTCAGTTAACTGCATTTTTTAAAGCATTTGAAACAGAGGTTGCATCAGTTCACTGCATCAGCTGACTGTACTGTACTGTACATCTTGCTGTGTTTTCTGACAAAACCTTCTTAAAAAATTAAGAACATTCTTCCATCTTGTCAGAGCTTGGTTATTATTTAGAACAGAGATGCCCGGTCCTGGTCCTGGAGATCTACCACCCTGGAGAGTTCAGATCCAAAAACACCTGGCTCTATTATTCAGATATCCCTGAAGGCCTTCATTACCAGGATCAGGTGTGTTAGATTTGGGTTAGAGCTTCAATCTGCAGGGTGGTAGGACCAGGATTGAGCACCTCTGATTTAGAATCAGAGAATGCATTTTGCACAATTTCAACTAGACTAAAAAAAATATCAGGCAGAGCATCTAGTAAATTGGTGCAGTGATCCTATACACTCCAAATGGGCTGAGCAGAAACTATGTATTATATACACTCTATAGGTACACTCCTTGTATCTACACTCTATCAGCTCTACTTACCACTAGGTGCACTTTGTAGTTCTACAATTACAGACTGTAGACCATCTGCTTCTCTGCGTGCTTTGTTAGCCCCACTATAAATGTAGATCTACAAAGTGCACCAATATGGTAAGCAACTGAGTGTTGATACAAGGTTTCTCTTGGGGGTTAAAGTGAATAAGTATTGTATATTGTGAAGAGTATGTATTTAAGGGTGGGTGCTTGTTTTGTTTTAAGAATAAAAAAGTAGAAGAAGAAGCTGTTAGTAGTTTTCTTTGGCTCAGTGCACTGAGAGTCACTGAAAGAAGGTTCAGGAGGGGGCTGCTGATGCAAATATTGTGCTGGACCTTGAAGGCTGAGGAAGCAAATCAGCCTTGCATTTGAGTACTTACAGATTTAATCTTCTCCAAAGCACTCCAAGTTCTCCAAGCATGAGAAAACACAAAATTCCTGTTTGCCTCAAGCCTGTAAAATATTGTTTTAAAGGAACATTTCAGTCAACAAGTGTTGCCAACAATAAATGCAACCACTTAAAATAATGCAGATGACATCAGGCTAATTAGTGACTATTAGCTCTCTCTCACTATTACCCACATTAGCATGCGTCATAAAGCTGTTGCTTTATCTTTTAGTTCCATATATTTTTGGTCACATTTTCACTCAAAATGTAAATGTAAAACTTGGCAGGGCTGAATTAATTTAATCCTGAACACAGTATCAAAGTTGTTTAAGGTTATAATTAAATTTGTCAGGTTGTAGTGTGTTGTTTCATGACACATTTACACAGTTAGCTTTTGTTCTTGATCGCCATTTAACCCAGCCAATACCAGCATGGCTACTGATTCACGTCTTATCGAACTTCAGTTATCTCATATGCCATATGCTGTCAGTATTAAAAACATTAATATTCAAGGCTGGCTTTACATTGTAAAGCTTTCATGCAACTAGTTGCATTTTGAGAGTTGCTTGCAACATCATTTCCATGCAACTTGACAATTACGCAAAAGCAATTTAAAAACTGCTATATCTATACAGTGGGGTCCAAAAGTCTGAGCGCACTGGTGAAAAGGCCTGTGTTTTGCACAGGCTTTTTCAGCATAACAATCACTTATTAGCATAACAATTTGAGTGAAAAGTGGAATCGTTGAATGTCTGCATGAATTTCAGAATGTCACCATGCCTTCCTTTTGCTTTAATGACAGCAAACAGTCAGCAAGCGCACTCCGTAGGTTTGTGCAAAAGCATCTGATCAGTAGATCAAATCCAACTTAGAGTTGCCTGAAGATTTGTTTCAATGGAAATAATACGACTACAAAAAATGTGGCCTTTTTTGTACAAAGACCTCAACATTGTCAACTTCAAAAAATGTGAACCGTAATCTAGAAATAGTGAAGAATTTTTAATATCTCTTCCTCATCTTAACTTTCATAACTTTTCTTTGTTTTAAAAATTGAAGATTCTAAAACTTTCTGTCGTTTATTTTCCAGTTTTAAAAGAAAAAGAAAACACTTTCATATTTCACTGTATATGTGTCATTTATCTGTCTATCTAGGGCTCTTGTGTCTTCACTTGTTAAACTGTCAGTCCCTTTGTATGTACATTATACACTGTCAAATAAAGCATGTTTTTTAAAAAAAAAAATCTGTTGTGTGCATGTTAAAACGGCATGCAAAAATTGCTCTTGGGCTCCCCCTACAGTTTCAGAGTGCATTTGAATTTTACACCACTGTTGTAAGTACAAATCACGCTGTCGGCCTCCCTCATGTGCACATGCATGTGTTGATGAGCTAAATGATACAGAATCCGACTCCTCTTCGCGCGCACGAAGGCAACTTCTATGTTTCTGTGTGTAAACAACTGAAATTTTGAATGTAATCTGTAGGGTGAACGCAAAGGAGAGATAGAATTCAGCACAACGCCTGCCTCAGAAGAGAAAGGACCATGCCAACTTACACGGCAGAGTTATAATACAGGAGTTTGCAAACATAAGGCTTATTTGGTGAGAGATTGACAAAGACTGTCCCAAACTTTTTGGTGTGAGCTGAATTTATCTCTTTGCATACTGGCCTGAAACAGGACTGAGGTTAGATGATTTTTGGCATCATGGTAAACTACAAAACTCCGTGAGACAGGGATGACACCGGCAAGGTTACAGCGTAAGCTGCAATCTTTCATAACATAGGCAGAGATGTACACTGTGTCAGATTTAGGGCTGCAACTAACGATTATTTTGGTAGTCGACTAATCTGTCGATTATTTTTTATTTTATTTATTTATTTATTTTTATTAGTCGATTAGTCGACGATTATTTTTTGTTATGCCCTCCCTTTCTGCTTCCTGTGGGCGTGGCTTCTGCTTGACCGCTTAATTAAATGTATTTGTAACATTAATACATGTAATCAACATAAAAGTAAAATAAAGAAATTTAATAATATAAATTAAGGTGCAAGAAGGCTTTCGAATGAAGATAACGTGTAAAATGTAACTCAAAATAGCCTCTGTCCCAGCATACTGGGCTGTTAAGTTGCAGAAGTTGTAACTCTGCAAGTCAAAAAAAAAATTTATAATAAGTTTGCTTAAGGTGAAAGTCAGGTACGTATAAAATCTTGCTGGGTCTGGAAGTCCAAAGGTTCAAATAAGGCTTCAAATAAAAAAAAGAACTTCTCCCAGTCCAAAATAACTATTAGCTATAGTTTACAAAAGCTTTTAATTGCAGTGCAGGCACGTGAGCATGTTGACGTGCTCTGGAGCGAGGCTGGCTCTTATGGCAAGCCAAGAGGGTCAGAACTCGTCAGGGTTTTGACGGCGTATAAAGCGCGCACTATGTTTAAAAACGCCGTCCAGAGCGGCGTTTAAGGGTTTTCTTTTCGCCGTCAGGTAAACGCGAGGCGCCGCCAGGCGCTTAGTTAACGCCACCACGCGTCTCATAAGCAGAAATGACCTGAATTTACAGATCCCCTCCTTCCCCAACAGGTTCAGCCCTGGCTTTAGTTTGGTTTGCCCAGTTCGAAACTCAGTGATAGCCAAGAGAATTTTTTATTGCTTCCAGTGACTTAATTCCTCATGTGGAGCCACTGCAGTCCACACTAACGAACTAAGGGGATCTCTTAACAACATCAAGTAAAAAGCGCGGATTTAGTTTAAGGAGGCTTGTGATTTCGTATCCACTGTACAACCTGCAACCACGATGCCTGTAACTGTTTCACACGATTGAGTAGTCAGAAGATAATTAAAGCTGTCAGTATGAGCAAAGTAAACACATTCACTTCTCACAAGTTCTGCTTTTGTCCATCTTGGGGCAAAGGAAAGTGAACAACCTTACAGCAGAGCTATCCACAGGCCCACATGTAGGCTACATAGCCTGCTTGCTGCATGCATGTATATTCGAAAAACCCAGCACCGTATTCAGTGGAAGCTATAAAAATTCTCCTGGCTATCACTGAGTTTCGAACTGGGCAAACCGACTCTCCGTATAACCCTCCCCCTGCCAGGGCTGAACCTGTTGGGGAAGGAGAGGATCTGTAAATTCAGGTCATTTCTGCTTATGAGACGCGTGGTGGCGTTAACTAAGCGCCTGGCGGCGCCTCGCGTTTACCCGACGGCGAAAAGAAAACCCTTAAACGTCGCTCTGGACGGCGTTTTTAAACATAGTGCGCGCTTTATACGCCGTCAAAACCCTGACGAGTTCTGACCCTCTTGGCTTGCCATAGACTTTATACATGCAGCGTTTGAGCTGCGGGGCAGCGAGAAAGATATACAGACATTCCAGACGGACAGAGGGTCACATCAGTCACTCTGCTCAACAAAAATATAATTTATGAATGTACACGGTATATTTGTTTCTCCTGGACAGCATCAGACTTCTGATAAGGAAAAATTTCAAGCCTGGTGGACCAACCGGGAAATCTCTCTGCAGCACAGTGTTTAACTCTTTCGTGATGAATATTTTTTTCTGTTTGTATATGTTTTTCTGTTTATTTTTCATTGATTTTTATGGCTTATTTAGTGTATTTTACTGCTTTTTCCTGTTAGCCGTGAGATTGTCTTGCATTTTATTTCCTCTTTTAGCTCTTGTCAACAAATAAAAACCAGTCATTTTTACTTTATTGTTCTTCCCTATTATACGTCAGTGTACCATCCAAAAGATTTTTAAACTGTTATTTTATGGCAAAACTGTTACATAATGTTGTTTTAAGCCTTTGATAATTAACTTGTTCTGTCCTATAAGTTCACTGCGGTCTCGTCTTCTGTAAAAATGATCAACTTTTCATCCAGTCTGAGTCTGAGCTCTGTACAGTTAGGAGGCATCAAGAGAAACAATGAACGGAGGTCACAGTAACGGCAGATTAAAGAATAAACAGAGGCACTAGCAGCCGTTTAAACAGCTGTTAGCATTAACTGGCTAGTTAGCACAGCTAGTTATAGAAACGTTAGCTTCGAGAAACTCATGCTTTTTTATGGCTCAGGAAACTGACAGAATGAAAAAACACCAACCGTCAGACGAGAAGGGGTATCTCTTCATCTCCTGTCTGATTTTCTTGTCCACTGAACTGGTGAAATCGGTTGTTTTAAAGTACGTCGGTCGACGTGATCACGTGGTGCGTTTCGGCATTTTGATTGGCTGTTTCATGTGACTTGTTCCACAAAGTTGAGACGCTTGCAACGGTTGCACCCGAGTTTCAAATGAGTTAAAGGACGCTTTACATTATGCAACTCAGGCGCAATTTAGTTTCATGTAGGTTTCAGCAACTAAAGTTGCATTAGAGTTTCACCTTGTAAAGTCAGTCTACGTTTTACATTAAAAAGGCAAACATCTTTGATGATCCATAAAAAATTACAACCAAACTTGTGCATGCTTAGACAGTTTTAATATACCAACTACAGTCATTAAAAAAACCCTGATGAGTTTCACACGCCTTCTCTTTCAGTGCAAAAGGACTCAAGCATGAATATGGTCGTTAGGCTACAGAGAGACAGCTGAACAGAGAAGTTGAAAATAATTACATTATTAGATTGGCTGGCACTGATTTAAAAAAAAAGTTACATGTTAACATTAATCTAGCCTGGATATCAATTTATGTCCATTTGAGCTTGGTGATGATTTTCTCTGGGAGATGCTTAAAGATGAACTACATAATGCTCAACAGTTACATAAAATTGCAGCAAATTATGTCACCGCACCAAGCCTTACTCAGAGAAGAGATGCAGGCTCTAATCGAGGGTTATAGTACCTCAAACAGGAATTGCTGGCTGTGGTGCTTTCATATGATCATTTAAAAAGACCCAGGTGATAAGAGCTGATCGTAGTGATACAAGTGGAGATCGTTTTGATCACACAGTGGAGTTGCTATATTGAGTGAAATCATGCTGTTTCACCTTCAGACGCTGATGCATCGGCTCTTCAAAAAGAAGACTGGTAACGGATATCAAATACCTTGTTCAAGAAGAGACATTTCTTAAAAAGGTTTTGAGGAAATCATGACTTCACACTGAAATTCACCCACACTGGAGCGGCTGCAATACCTAATGAGGCCAGACGGTGGGGTCATAAACCATTGTCAACTACAACACTTTTACATTTCCTTGTAACAAGTCAAAAAAATGTCTGCTTTGGCATCACATCATACAACGTCTCTTGTGAAGAATATACCCTCTTATTTGTAACTCCAGGGTAAAGGGGTGAGTTGAGTTTTGCATTGCGCCGGTTGTTCCTCAAGGCCCGGCAGGTTGGGAGATAGTCAGCTCTTTATTTCAAATGCTGGGGTCCTGAGTTGTACAAATAGCAAAAAAAAGCAATTCAATTTGAAACTATCTGCCTGACCTCATCACATTACAGTATGCCTTCAGTCAGTTTCCCCTCTTTGATCCCAATGAAAGAGAAATTGGAATAGACACGTGGTCTTTCTGTCAGTAGTTGTTTACACCACTCTCCACTGCATGACACTCATGTCCTTTCCTCCGGTGGAAACCAGGTGGCTATCATCGAATAGGAAGTTGACATTGGTGACGTGACTGCTGTGCCCACCGTAGACGTGGCTAGGAGCCTGAGGAGAGAGATTGGACAGCGGAAAGGAAGGAAGACAAGAAAGAATTGAATGAGCGAGAGGGACAGAGCTTGTTTATTCCACATCAGTGCTTTCCAATTCTGGTCCTGGAGTACCTCTATCCAGCACATTCTGGTATTTTCCAAGTTTCACGGGGCCAGATATCGTAATGAGAATGTCTGGGTACAGCCATGAGAAATTTTGGGCCAAATGTAGATGGGAACGTAGACTTACAGTGAGGGGAAACAAGTATTCAGACCCTTTTGTTTTTGTTATTTAATATGATTCTAGTGCATATATCCACTTCAGATTTACACACATAACATCTTTTGGCTTGTACTTACAAACAAGCATGTATTGATAAACATAAACAAAAAAAATAAATTAATAGGGAAGAATTTTGGCCCATTCTTCTTGGTTATGAAGGTTTCCATCTGAGTAACATGCAAAATGCTTCATAAATTTTCAATAGGATTCAGGAGGTTTGCTAGGCCAAGTAAACACCTTCACCTTCCTTTTTAGAAACCAGTCTTGAGTTTTTTGGCTGTATGTTTGGGATTGTCGTCTAATTGAAACATCCATTTTCTCCCCATATTCAGTTTCTTGGCCAATGAGATAAAGTTCCTGATACATCGCTCCATTAATGTTTCCAGTAATGATGATTAATGACATTTGCAGAGAAGCAGCACCATATCATGATGCTCCCACCCCTGTACTTCACTGTGTGTGTGGTGTTCTTGGGGTCATACATGTAACCTTTGTGCAAAATTATTACCAAAAAAGTTTTTTTCTTCTTTGTTTCTTTTTTAGCAGAGGAGTTTGACATGGGGTATAGCAACACATGATTACTATACAGTTCTTTACTTATTGCTCTCTGTGTAACTGTTGTTTCTGCTGCATTTAGGTCATCCTGAAACTCTTTTCAAGCGAATACTGGCTTCTCTTTGACCTTCCTTATTATTAATTTGAGAAGTCTTGCATGGTGCACCTGTCCAGGAACACATCGTCGGTGTGTTTCTAATAATTAGTTGGGTCAGGGGTTTTAGCGCAGAGAAAACACCAAGATATGCAGGACAGAGGTACTCCAGGACCTCAGTTGGGAGCCACTGCTGTACATTGATGGAGTCCATAAAATGCTACTTTGATAAAATAGTGCAGACTGCTTACTCTGGACTGAGAGCAGGGGAAAGAGAAGAGATGTACTTTTCCAAAATCATCTCCGGTGGCAAGCAGCCTCTTCTCATTGGATCTGCACACAGCATTGATGTCTGTCCCATCAGAGCCATCTGGCCATAACCCTGAGACAATATACACACAGTCAAAGCCAGAAACTGGACTAGCATTCAACAACCATGCACCTTTGATGCATATTCAATTAAAGAACAGTAAAAAAAAAAGAATTGCAAGTGTGCAGGCACCTTGATTAATTACATGTCTTCAGCAGGATTTACAAAGAAACTCATGCTTTGTTTTATTACACATGGAAAGTGGGATAAGCCTTACCAAACACATGGAAGCCCAATGTGCAGGTAAAGCTGACCCATGGGATATCACGGGTCGTCTCCACGCTCACTACTTGTTTACACACAGAGGGGATCCCTGGACAAACAGTCAATAATAGGTCAATAATAAGAGTTTGTAACAATGAACAATTTGTCACAGTCATCTATTGATAGATATGATGTACAAAAGCCAGAGCTATTTCTGACTGTAGAATTGTATAACAGTGCTAAACAATTAGCTATTTATGAAATTAAATGAATGGAATGAAGAAATGAGTCATATTGTGTCCCAAACCATATGTGTGACTTTAATAAAGACCTGGATGCGATTTGAGTGGATTGAAAGAAGTTTTGGGGATGTATTTGCCGAAATTTGAATGACTATTGACATGTAGTTTTTTTTTTACAGTAGCCTTTTAGCTCCACAGCTAAACCAAAGAAACAGAATTTGGATCAAAACATGTCTTTTCTGATTGACTACGTCTGGTAAAATTGTGTAAATTAGTTATTTTGTCAAACTATTTTTTTAAGACTTACTCCATTTTGTCACTCGTTACTCTGGACATACTTACAGTAAAGGATCTCATAGTCTCCAGAGTTGGACACCAGATACTGAGAGTCTACAGACCAGTCTAAATGAGTGATGAAACTGGAGTGACCCTATAAGAGTCAACAACAACAGAAAATAAGAACATTAACAGCTTCCTAAAATGCAATTGAACTGCACTGTTACTTAGCATGCCATTTATGAGTAAAGTATATTTATGAATAACAATCATAGGGTGTCATTTAAGATATCTTACCGAGCATTTTCCCACTCGACTGTACTTTTTGCCATTTTCAGCTACAGCATAGATGTAGATGTAATTGTCATGTGACCCAATGGCAAGAAAGTTTCCATCTGGAGGGAAAATGTTCAATCAAGCTTAATAGTGGAGAGCCTCATTTATGGCGATTATTATGTGTGAATGTCTCTGCATTTTCACTTTGAAATAAAACGGCGAATGATTAAAGTGGCTGTCAGAAGAGCACTAACCTGGAGCAAAACGCATAACCGAGAGTTGCTCGTTCCCATCCGTATGCACCGTGACTAGATCCTTAGTTTCAGTATCCAGAACAAGCCACCTGTACATTTATAATAGGAGAATGAATCATATGAAGCAGTGCAGGCTTGGCACATTATCAAAGACTCTTTTGTTGTAATGCGTTTTTGATATGATGATGATGACTTCATGAATAATAAAAATGTCAAAGATAGCTGAACAATGACTCTAGATTAGCGTTGTGTTCATGTATTACATTTGCATAGTAATTAGTTGTTTGGGGTCTTCCATGTATCGAACTATTAGAGTTTTGCCAGAATGTTAATGATGTGTCAGAGACCCCTTTGATGAGAAGCGAAAGATTCTCTCACCTGCCTGTCTGCGTTCCTATGGCAACCGTCGCCCCAGAGGGATGGAACCCGGCTGACTGAGTTGCATCCTTTCCACAGAGGAAACACACGTACACACATATCTTAATCAGACACACTCCGCCAAACCCGTCCCACCTCAGCCACATTAACACCAGCAGCCTATTAGAGGCCTTACAGAGACAAAGCACTGTGAAAATGAAGTAGGAGTTCAGAAGACAGCTGGCATGTCTTCACTGAGCTGATCCCACGCAAAGTGATGCAGCCAAAGGGCGCAGCTCACCTCCAGTGTCTTGGTCCAGACAGGCTGATGTGCATCAGAGTCCCACAGGCAGACCAGTTTGTCATGGCCACAGGTGAGGAACTGGTGCTTCAGTGGGTGAACAGCCAGACCCCATAACTCATCTGTATGACCCTGAAAATACAACGCTATCATCACTCAAGGGGACAGATTAAGCCTACTTTTTAAAGCAGCACTATGTTTGCTTTTTTTTAAGTGTCAAGTGAAAAAGTCACATTTACAGTTGGATTTCACAGGAGTTTTTTCATCCATGTTACATGTCTTTACGTATTGTAACGTTCTACTATACTGGCTGGCGCTGTTGCTGGCACCTGAGACTTTGGAGGCATGGCTATGCAGATAACCACACACAAAGGCTCATGATATGCACACGCCCTCTTGAAAAGGGATTGTTTATGTTGTTTAGTGTTGGTTGTTGTTAGTTTGTCACTGTCAGGGTGAAGTGTGTTGCTAGAGGTGACCCCTCCCCCAAAATTGGGGCTCTATATGTGCCCCTTTCTGCCAATATGTTCCATAAAGAGTACTTCTTGCAGCAGATCATGGCTACTTCTGTGTTTCTTCCTTTGCTGATGCTACAGTATTAATGTTACTTGCACAGGCTCAAAAAGAGGATCCAGCTCAATGTTTAGGTCTCAAACATAAAATCAAAATTAGATTGATGAATATATCATGGCAGATAATCCACTACATCCACATCCTTCAAGTTTTGAGTTCTTTTGACTGTGAATACTCTTTCAATGTACTCACAATCATCAGATTCATCCACTTGAGGAAGGGGTGTGAAGCACAAGGGACATTACAAAATGTTCTTGTGTGCAATTACACATTTCCATCAGAGAGGTCTAGAAAATACCTAAATCTTATATAGTGCAGCTTCAACTAAGAAAGCCTTTCATTCAGAAATAATGCAGACAAGTTTATGACTAGTTATGGCTGTTAGGCATAATTAATATACATTAAACGATGGGCCTGTGGCACTCTGACATCATTTAACCACTTGGTACACAGCAGTTTAGCTGTGGCCATTTGCAATGCAGGAGTGTTTCAGCCTGGACTGATTTTTGAATGAGAAAGAATACAGGGCAGTCATTTAGAGGTCTATTCATGCTCAGTACTGTGTTCTCTCTTCACTTATGTCTGCTGTTCCTACCTGGGTGATGGGTGTGAAGTCCCCATCCAGACTCCCCTGCAGGACATAGTTTTTGGTTGTTCCAATAAGAACAGTCTCTCCCTTCCCCTCAGCAACCGTGCGAATAGGCCCATACAGTTCTGGAACCTGAGAAGGATGTAATTACGTTAACAGTGGCAGAAAAAAATATGTAACTGCTTAGAACTGATGTTATTAGGCTACAGTAAACAGCAGTTGATTTGTTCTTTAGGATATTTATAAATGCAACAAAAAATGTTTTTACTTTTTTATCTTAAATAATCTAGTACAGGAATTATGAATAAGAAAAAACTGCACATTATTTGCTCTCATTATTTAGATATTATCATATTATGCATTGCTGAAATAATGAAGGTTTATATGGCACATGTTGAAACATTTTTGCCCCAAAGATGGTTTAAACAGCTGAAAGGCTTGAGTGATGAAACACTTACATCACAACAAGGTGATACAATGCATGTGTTATGGCATTATTTCTAAGACAGTACTGCTCTCTATTGACACATGCTATCTGTGCACTAAATAGCTAGATATGATGTGCATACTATTTGGTTGAATACAGAGAGTTGTGTTATTTGGATGCTGTTTATCTAATGCGAGCTTTATAGAGCCTCACCTCCACTGTTTGAATCCTCTGGTAATTTCCATCCCAAGAGATGAGCTTGCGGTCCTTCCCGCCTGAAACCAGGGTGCCGTTTCTCAACATGCACAGCGCAAACACGCTGCTTTCGTGTGCCCCCTGAATGGCCAGGCTAATGCGATTAGAGCCTTCAAGACAGACACAGAAGCCATCATTAGCCATCATTACCCTCACTCTCTGCCAGGTCAGAAACCATCAACGAGTACTGCTCAACAGATCATGACCCAACACTGACCGAATCTCTTCATTAGACTTCAGTAACACAGCATGTAAAAGGCACAGAGTCTGGTGAATGCAACTGTTTTGCCTAACTATTTATAAAGCCCATACCAGACTATTATGCTTAGAATAAACAGAAAGCACAAAATATTTCTCAAACATTTATTATCCATTAACAGAAATGAATATTTAGTAAAGACTAAACAATTATTGTGTATTATGCATGACACATGTGAGTACATTCTGTCTTTAAAAAGCAGGGCCTGTATTCATGAAGCTTCTCAGAGTAGGAATGCCATACACACTACAATTCAACGTGTCACTAAATTATTTACCTTTGCCCCATACAAGTATATTTCCGCTGGAGTCACCAGTGATGGCGTCACCGTTTTCTGAAAAAGTCACACACAAGACAAACTTGGGCTTCTCTTGTTTCTGCAAGAAACATAAATATGGCTTTATTTTTTAAGCAGAATTACAACAGTGTTAGTTCACAAAAGTGCATGCATTACATCAAGATTTTATTTTTAAAGGGCCCATACTCTACATTTTTCATTTATTGTATTTTTTTCTCTGAAGACAACTTATAACATATATGTGGGTTTATATACAATTTTTGGTAACAATTTCTATGAATGTCACCTTTGTAAGCATCTATAAACACATTCATAGCATGTTATAATGCATTCATAAGGCATTGTAAACATGGCTATAAATATTTACAAAAATGCATTACACGTTATAGCCATGCTTATTATGCATTATGAATTGTTAACATAATACATTATAAGTACTGTTCATAACAAATTATAAGAGCTCATAAGTTGTATTTGTCCGCTCTAAGTAAAGTGAAGCGTACTGTACCAAAGCCTCCTCCAGTGTGAAGAGTGAGGCTTCAAGTTGAAGTATTTACTGAAGGATTTACTGAAACACTAAAACATACACAGTAAAGCACATTACAGGCTTCAAATGTCAGAGTTTAAACTAGTGCTGCCATCAGTGCTTTATCCCAATGTGGGAAAGTCAATGTACACCACCGTTAGCTTGGTATTTGTCTTTACTTTGCAGTCTCCAAGCTGGGACTGACTTCTTTGGCACTGACAGTACAACGTGTTATCAAGACTACTTATAATGCATTATATTAACAATTAATAATGTATAATAAACATGGCTATAAAGTGTAATCCAGTGTAATTCATTTTTATAAATGTTTATAATCATGTTTATAATGCAGTATGAAGGCATTATAACGTTATACATGTGTTTATAGATGCTTACAAACGTGACATTCATAGAAAGTGTTACCCAATTTTTTTTTTTTATTTTATTTGTACATGAGCATTTTTCAACTTCTCTGTACCTCTTAGAATTAAACAGGCTGTGCTGATTGGCTGTCCTGCCTCAATCAAAAAGCAGCTGGCCTTATAACTTTAACATAAATGAGTGGGGTTAAACCACTATAGGCTTTATAGGGGTATGTATGTACATATGTTGGTTTTCATGACATTACAGAATGAACAATTAAAAATAAAACAATTTCACAGCTTAATTTCCAAATACTATATGGACTAGGAGTAAATGGTATATTTTGTATAGTGGCCCACTTCAACACATCTACCCACTTGAAATAAATATTGCATTATTCTGTAAATCTCAATGTAAACCTGCCATTAATCATAAGATTATTCTGTAAGCTTACCTCAAATAAGCCCTGTTTCTTCACAAGAGAGCCTTTTTCTAGTGACCAAAAGTAAAGGTGGGACTTCCCACATGTTACAATAATGTTGGCATCTGTCGGATGGAAATCAGTGGCGAAGACTGACTCATTGGAACACTGTGATAAAAGCACAAAGGATTATCAATGAACATGGGGCTTTAAAGAAATGAAAGATAAAAGATTAACAACATTAATAATGTACTCTTCATTATACATAGTCCCTTAGGACTAAGCTCACACATACACCGATATCATTGTGCACTAGTGGTGCACAATGATATCGGTGTACTGGTATCGGCAGATATTTACTTTGAAAAAAATATCAGTGTCAGACAGATGTTTAGATTTAGCCGATATTTGTTGATATATTTATCAATTGCCGGAAGATCAGAATGTTTAGGCAATACTGAGCTACTGTGCTAAAATGACTGCATTTGAAACCCTAAAGAAATAAGTGTTACATTATCTCCACAACACTAATCCCAGTAGATCTAGCCCTAAATTTTACATTGTATTTGTTTGTGTATCAGCACTGTTGTTGGCAGATACACTGTGTGGCCAAAAATATGTGGACACCTGACCATAACACCTATATGAGCTTGTTGAACATTCCATTCCAAAACCATGGGCATTAATATGGAGCTGCCCCCTTTTGCAGCTATAACTGGCAATGCTTTCCACATGATTTTAGAGTGTGTCTTTGAATTTGCACCCATTCAATTAAAAGAGCATTTGTAAGCCTGGCTTACAATCAACGTTCCAATCCATCTTAAAGGTGTTCAGTGGGGTTGAGGTCAGAGCTCTTTGCAGGCTACTGGAGTTCCTCCATACCAAATTTGTCAAATCATGTTACTATGGACCTCACCACCTGCATAGGGGCACAGTCATGCAGGAACAAGAAAGGGCCTTCCCCAAACTTGCGACAAGCATAAAACGGTGCAAAATGTCTTTGTATGCTGTAGCATTAATATTACCCTTCACTGCAACTGTTAGCAATTAATGTGTGGCTGAAACACCTGAACTCAAGAATGAGGAATAGTGTCCACATACTTTTGACCATAAAGTGCATGTTCTCTGAAAACATTGCATATTGGTATCAGCTCAAAGCTTCCATATTGGTATATTCATAATAGTAACAGAAGCAAGAGGAATCCTATTATTTGGTGCAAAGGCTTGATGTATGACTGAAAATCCCATTTAACAGTTTTCTCCAGGGCAGCAGTGTGAGCGGTCATCCAAATGGGTTTTATGTACTGCACACCTTAACTTCAGCAAGTCTCTCTTCCCTCTGCCAGTCCCACACTGAAAGCACATGGTCATTGGAGTCATCCACTACACACAACCAGCTACCTCCATTCTAAATGGTCAAAAAAAGACACAAACATGGTATCTATATCAGTGTAATGTGTCAGCATTAGGAAGAGAGAATGACAATAAAAGTCTCTTGAATCAATTATCCAAAAACAATCCCTTTATTTCAGAACAAAGGAATAGACTAGTGAGTTGTTGGAATGCACACAAGTGTGATATACTTTAAGTCTCATATTAAGCAATTATGGAGTATGATGCAGAAGCTGTCTGCCGCTTACCGATTTGGAAAAGGAGAGGCACACAAGAGCTCTGTCGAAGAAGCCAGTGCCAAGTACATGCAGTGTGTTCAAACTCACAGAGTCCCAAACACGCACATGAGGGGCCAACTGCTGCCAAAATACAGACCGCATTACTGTTCAGCTGTAGAACTAAATATCAGAAAATATTCCACCCCAATACGTTACAGCAAGAATGAAGCTTAAACTAAATCTGACAATTATACTTTGTATAGTTTTCACTAACATTGGGTACTCGCAGGTGAATTATGATATACATCATGGTAACAAGGGCTGACATGGTACATTATCAATAAATAATAACATTAATAGCAGAAATGAATAACATTTTATTGCATACCATACAACTAGATGAAGATAAAACTCTCACACAATTAGTCAAATAAGCTAAAAATGAACTAACTAAAAAATGCATTACTATAAACATGCTGTACTGTGTAAAAGTCAGAGACCATCCTTTTATTTATTTAATTTCCAGGCAATACAGCTATCAGAAGAAAGCACGCATTTACCAGAAAATTACAAGGAAGTGTCAACAAATAAATATAATATGTATTTTTTTAAATGTTTTTTCTAAATGCTTTCAGTTTTTCAAAGAAATTCTGCAGGGATATTTTTCCACACCTCCAAAGTTCAGTCTTAGAAGTTGGTTGCATTTTATGCTTCTCAAGATGCAAGTGATCCCAGACATATTCAGTAATGTTGTGGTCTGGACACTGGGCTGGTCAGTCCATTGTTGTGAGAACACCAGCAGCTTCTTTGTTTGATTTGCAAATGTCTATGTCTATTTTTTGTCTGTTTCCTTTTCTCAATAACATCTTCTTGGCAGCTACACAGCCTTTCAGACTCATAGTGCTGAATTGTCTTCTCGCAGTGGAAGGATGAACAGAAACACCAGTGGATCTTTTCAGAGGTGAAGCAAAAGTGGACCTTGATTTTCTCCTCTCTCTCAAAGATGAAAGCTTTAAATATTGGTTTATTTGATGGTAACAGGTTTGATGGTCTTGCATGGTTCCCATTTTCTCTAAAACTTTTTTAACCTGTTTTTTCACTTATTTTTCTTTGACTTTCTCCTTCCTCCTTCCTTCCATCTTATATGTTATCTCCTCAGAAATTTCTCCTGAACAATTAATAACTCATACATAGGGGCTGTTTTAAATTTATTTTTGTTTAGAATTTACAGTACCGCAAAAACTGGTACCCAGAGGACAGTGACATTGCTGTACCAATGTTTTCACTTGGCCCATTCTTGCCTATGCACAGAGAGTGATTTGGCTGCTACTCTTTTCAAGTCAGGCAGACATGAAAGACATTTTGCTGCATAACTTTTGACAGTGATTTTCTCACATCTAGAGCAGTCTGTGGAGCTCTTTTACCATCAGCTCTTTTTTTCTCAGCTCTATCATTTTCTGTTCCAGGTGAGGTCTCGAATTCAATAGGACGAAAGGTATCATTCCATAAAGTCAAATGTGTCTTTGATGGGGTGCAATCTCTTACTTTGCCATCTGAAGATGTGCCAGCCACTTGTCCTGTTGCTATGGTGATTTTATCAGGATGGACAGCTAGGCTTCAGGGAGTGAAAGAGAGGTGACAGTGGTGAACATCAGTAAACAATGATGCAAAACAGGAGAAGCTACTGCAATGATGATGTAGCACTAAGAGGAGATCTGAGGATGACAATACTGTGCATCAAGATACTGAGAAGATTCTGTCACTGAGTTATTATCATATTTACATTATGGAAGTTTTTCTGGACAAAATGGTTTAAATACATAAACAAATAAATAAATGTATGGCATAATATGGCAATAAATAAATAATTGTAAAATTCAACATATATATAAATAATTCAATATGGCACCAAACGCTTAATGTTTTTTATTAATATATTTAATTTTTTATTTATACCTGTCTGTATATTTATTCAGTTATTTATTTCAGTTATGCTACCGGCAATATGAAATAAGCCTTGAAATTTAAATTGTCATTGTCCAATGTCTAATTTAATATGGCTGCACCAGAGCCAAATGTAATTCTAGCATGAAACTAGCTGAGTAAATGAACCAGCCATGAGAAATTTAGCTAAAAAGTTAAACAGGGACATAACGCCATAAATAGAATGAACTGTTGAAGATTCCGCTAGCCAGACAAACCTGAAATGCAGTCATCATGCAGGAGAAGCACATGAAAACAATCAAATAAAGTTTATGATGACAACATTTGTCCTTTAATATTGTTAACAAATGCATACAAGCTAACTTACACTGGCTATCGCTATAGCCTGGCTGTTCGCTTCATTCAAACAACAACATTATTCCCTTTAGCATATAGTCCTACATTCATTAGAAAATACAAGTGTTTTAATAGAAGGGGTAGAAAATGTATCGGTGGCAGTAAATGATGAAGTTAAAATAAACCAAACAGGAGCTTTATTTAAGCTACTCAGCTTTGCTGTCAGGAACTGAACTAGGGAGCAGCCACACTTTTGTTTAGCCACACCTCCTGAAGGTGGGTCTTCCCTAAATACCAGCCACAACCTCTCTTTTGATGGGTGAAAAGATTACATTTTATGGCTTACATAATGTCCTTAGCATCACTGAAATAAATAAATAAATAAAGTCATCAATGTAAACAAAATCATTAATGTTCACTTCTAATTTTACTGCAAAATGTTGTTTATTTGTTTATTTACTTTTAATTCATTCTGTCTGAAAGACCCACCATACTTCACTGAGCATTATCTGAATTTGATCTTGTGTACATGTCTTACTGTTTACTTACTTTTGCCAATAATTCTGTTTATGTCATGTACAAATTATGTCCACATTTTATTTAAGGAAATTCATTTTTCTTACGGAAAACAAAATAATCGATGACATACATTAGCTCACAGCTTTGTGCTTTTCTATGAGATTTTGAGATTTAAATGTCTCACCCGTAAAATAAACAAGACACATAGCTATCTATGATTTGCACATCACTCCTTTACCCTGAGACCAATGACTATTCCTCAGGGATGAAGGATATTAGAAATTTCAGCACTGTGGAGAGCTGAAGGTGATTATAATCATTATAATTAGAGCTCCAGCCTGGGTAAACATTGTTCACGGCGATGCTGTTGTAAGTGTAAATTTTTATGGCTATTAATTACCTCTCCAGTGTTATCACAGAAACAAAGACACAGAGAAATGCTGTTTACTTTATCATGTCCATTATAAAGGTCACAGTGAAACACAGCGGTGGAATACTGAGCAGGACTATTTCGACGACAAACAGCAGTGATCCAGCCAACAATAACAGCTTTGTTGAACATTGTTACAAAGTAAAAACCCAAGGGCAGTCTACATAGACACATTCCCACAGAATACCCAGGCCTGATTTGACTATGAATAATTGGATACATATACTATTCATGCTTGACTATGGATACTTCAACCAGGTTTTAAGGAAGATTTCACTTGATTGTTTTCTGGGCTCAGCATGAGGCTTGGGCAATATCTGAAAAATATGACTGCTTCTCATTAAAGGGGAATTCCACCAATTTTTCTTTACAGTGATGGTGATGGGAATCATGGGATGTGAAGTTTCCAACACAAATACTGTCATTTTGAATAGTGAACAAAATTGCAATATTTTGCTCTCTCCAAAATGATAACTTTACAGGAGAAGTCAAAAACTTACTTTACTTTTAATGTAAACCAATGTAACCAGATTTTATTCCCAAGTTATTTTGAGTCATTTCTTTTAATCCATTCATCATCAAATTTACAGAAAATGTAAATGTATGGTGACATTAAGGCACAAAAATTGTGTGCCACATCAGCCTGGTAATGTTAAAGTATGCATAGACAGTTGTAGTAAATCATGAATTATTATATATATTTTAAAGTTTTACTCCTCCAAACCACTGCAACCAGAAAGAAAAGTAAGAAAGTGCTTCGTATTTCATCAGGTAGTATGTTGCAACCTGAAAAAACCCAGCTGAGACAGTAGTAAATTTGCTCTACTGTAGCCTAATGACTAATAAATGCTCTGAATCAATGCATTGTTTTAACAATCCCTTGACACTAAAAGTAAAAGAGAATACAACATAACATGCAAATATCACCTATTTCAAATTCAACTAGGCCTATTTAGATCTTTTTTGCCAACATAGATAAGTAGCAGCGATCAAGCATCTGTTAATCATCACAGATATCTGATTACATTGCCCTATCATTCAGCCCTATTTGCAATGTTCCCAGAATAATAGAAGCCCATGATTAGTACTGATGCTGAAACAGCATTTTAACTCTCACCACTTGATGTCATCAGTGTGTCCAGTGTAGTGTCTCTGCAGCTGCTCGTCCACATTGTACAGAACCACCACAGATGCAATGAAGTAAACCGTCTCTCCGGTGGGGAGCAGATAGAGATTGGATCGACAGTCTCGGCCCCGGTAACCGTAGCTGGCTTTCAGTCAAGAGCAATGCTCAGGAGCATGGAAAATTAGGCTATTAGACACTAATTCGGCTTGCATAGCCATTACAGTGAAGAGTTTTGTATTCGCCCAAATTCAATTCACATTTCATTTTTTTCTCACTGTAGGGAAATGCTGTGGTGCTGGCAGATCACCCAGAGCCACCCCATGCAGCTGAATGCACAAGGTAATCATACAGTATCTGGAAATGTGTTTCTCTCTAGCAATGCATAATCCATTTCTTTTGGGATGTGCCTGATGCATCGGAGAAGGGAGAGAACTAAGCTAAAAATATTCCGCTCTGCCAGCCTGCAGCAAAAGTGAAAAAGACTGCTATACCACTATAGGCAAGCACTGGTACAGAAAATGCTAGCTTTTTTATGTAGATTAGGACTATTGCGATAAATCCAAAGTTGATATGATTTAAAAAAAATCACTAATTATCTACTTTCTCAAAGACACAGCAGAGATAAGTTGGCAATTTACAAGATGTGTGTTTTAAATCCTTTTTACAGTAAGAGTCTGATGGACGCACCCAATGACATGCACTTTTGGCCACTGAGGGCCCAATGTGCAAAGTCTCTAAAAGCAGGCATAAATTTGCATTAAGGTCTCTAAAGACGTGTTGTTCCTTTAGCTACAACAGAAGACACAGTGGTCAGAAAAAGGCATGAGCTTCAAAAACATGCTAAAATAATGTTTAACATCAGAATAACACTTTTTAAACTCTTGGGACCAGATGTACATACAATGGTGTCCAAAAATCTGAGATCACATTGAAAACCTGGTATTTGTTTCATTTAAACCTGGAAACAAACAGAAAGTTTTAGAATCTTAGATTAAAACAAAGCAAAGTTTTCACAATTAAAATGTAATTTGAAACTCTGCACTAAGTCATTTTACAAATTATAGCAAATCTGTGAAATTGACAATGTTAAGGCCTTTATACAAAAAGCTCAAATTTTTTTTAGTTTTATTCCTTCTGTTGAAAGACATGTTCAGGCGACTTTCAGGTGGATCTGATCTACTGATCAGAGGCTTTTGCACTTATGGAGTTCATGCCAGCTTGAGCACACACTGATATTAAAGCAAATGGGGACACAACTGTGCCAGATACTAAGAAATTCTAGTTCATGAAAGTTTATGTAAACATTAAAAGATTCTACTTTTCACTAGAAACTAGTGAAAAGTAACTAGAAAAAAACTATAAAGACAAAGACAACAAATCAAATGTTGAAACTAATCAATTTTATTGTTTTTTGAAAAATATATGCCCATTTTGAATTTAATGCAAACAAAACATTATAAAAAAGTTGGGATGAGGGCATGTTTACCACTGTGTTTCAGCACCTCTTCTTTTAACAACACTCTGTAAGCATTTGGGAACTGAGGAGACCAGTTGCTGTGGTTTTGAAAGTGAAATGTTTTCCCATTTTTGCTTAACATAGGATTTCAGCTGCTCAGCAGTTCAGGGTGTTCTTTTTCGTATTTTTCATTTTATAACCCTCCAAATGTTTTCAGTGGTGACAGGTCTGGACTGCAGGCAGGTCAGTTAAGCACCCGGACTCTTTTAATACAGAGTCATGCTGTTGTAATACGTGCAGAATGTGGTTTGACATTGTCTTCCTGAAATAAGCAAGGCCTTTCTTGAAAAAGACGTCGTCTGCCAAAACCTGTATATCTCGTTCAGCATTAATGGTGCCTTCACAAATGTGCACGTCACTCATGCCATGTGCACTAATGCACCCCCATACCATCATGAATACTGGCTTTTGAACTGTGAGCTGATAAGAAGCTGAGTGGTCTTTAGCCAAAAGGACACAGTGTCTATGATTTCCAAAAAGAACTTCAAATTTTGATTCATCAGACTATAGGACACTTTTCCACTTCCCCTCAGTCCATTTCAAATGAGCTCAGGACCAGAGAAGGTGGCAGTGTTCCTGGATCCTGTTTATATATGGTTTCTTCTTTGCGTTTTAAAGTTTTAACTTATATTTGTGGATGCAGTGCCAAACTGTTTTCATAGACGGTGGTTTTCAGAAGTGTTGCTGAGGCCATGCAGTGATTTCCACTACAGAATCATGTCTGTTTTTCATGCAGTGCTGCCTGACGGCCCAAAGATCATGGCCAGCAAATACTGGTTTTTGGCCTTGTCCCTTGCATACAGAGATTTCTCCAGATTATCTGAATCTTTTAGTGTTATTATGTACTGTAGATGATGAAAAGCAAAAGTTCTTTGATATTTTATGTTCAGAAATGTTATTCTTGAATTGTTGCACTATTTGATTGTGCAGTCTTTCACAAAGTGGTGAACCCCTCCTCATCTTTACTTCTGAAAGCCTCTCTGAGATGCTCTTTTTATACACAATCATGTTATTGACCTGTTGCCAATTAACCACCAGGTGGTTTTTTAAACATTACACAACTTTACCAGCCTTTTGTTGCCCCTGTCCCAACTTTTTTAGAACGTATTGCTGGCATCAAATTCAAAATGGGTATATATTTAAAAAAATAAATAAATAAAATTTCTCAGTTTCAACATTCAATATGTTGTCTTTGAAGCATTCTCAATGAAATGTAGGGTTTAAATGATTTTGTTTTTATTTACAATTTTCACAGCGTCCCAACTTTTTTGGAAAAAGTTGTAGTTTTTCTACGTAAAAAGCATATCAACACATATCAAGTGTTTCCGCCTCACTTTTGTTTACTCTTTCCCTGTTACTATAAGAGTGGATAAGCTTGGCCTGGACTTGTTAATCATACTGGTGTGCATGAAGACTCTTGATTTGTTGCCAACTGCATCCTCCATCTCTCATTTCATTGTTTATTTTTCATTATTTTCTTATCTATAGTAACGCAACACCCCTGTAAAATGTTTTAGTTTAAAGAGCATTTATGAACTCCGCTATTGTTAAATTCCGGTGTATTGTGGCCCAGAGTGCTTCTAAATATCATTTTAATTATTTTGAAGACTTCTTTATTTATCTTTTTCCTAATCAAGTGTTTTGGAAACTTTGGAAAGCTATACATTGTTCAGTTAAGCCCATTTTTATTGTTTGGTCTTTAAAAAAAACTGTGATTACTCGATTAATCATCAAAATAATGAGCAGGTTACTTGATTTCTAAAAAAATCGTTAGCGACAGCCTTAGTGTAGACATTAAAAATAATGATAGTCTAGAATAATGGGTCATTCTAAAAGAATGTGGCTCCACATCCTCTAAAGTGAAAACATCCCCGGAATACAAGTTGATTTCCCATGAGGTTTATCATGACCCCTGTGCTGAAACAGAGATGCATTATGCACAGATGGGTCAGAGCCATAAAATGTCTACAAACTGTATCTTTGATCTGGGAACCAGAGCTACTGTCACTGATTCCCTTTTACGCTATTTTAATGCTATTAAAGGACAACTGCTATTTTGGACAATAGCATATAAAAACAATGTTTTATGAGACTGACATGCAATATATACATCAAAATATATGAAATATACTGAATATAATTTTGAAGTAAATGGGTTTTCGAGGAGAAAATTCTTTACGTTGGCAGTTTATAATGGTAGCCAGTGGAACCAAAATAGAAAGAAATCTGTCCCTGTGGAAATACAAAGCTATCAAAATGAACATGTAGCCTGAATGTTGCTACACAGAAAGGGTAGCATTCATATTTGTAATGTGTTATTTCTGATGGATTGCCTGTTCTTTCTGTGCAGAAACTGATTGCGCTTTTGTTTTTTTTGTTTTTTTTACAGGATTGACTATCACTGAAAAAAAAATTACAGGTTCCCAAGGGAAACAGACAATTTCAGGGCCCTTATATTTTGATGGATTGTAATATATAATCATATATTTTCAGTGCAATGTTCGCTCAGTCAGACAAGTCACACACTACTTGATAAAAGATAGCATGATAAGTCATCAGCTTGCTGCAGAAAAAAAAATCTCACTTGATTGAAATCTGTTGTATGAGAAAAATGAAAGGAGCTCAATTTTTTTTCTTGGTTATTGGTTTAGATGGCAATCGGATAAACACTGCTGGCTCTCACTGCTTCTAGAAAAGAATTATTGCTTCCATGTAGAAGGCCAACATGTTCAGTTCTCTTGGCCTCCAATGTACACATGACCTACTTCAGTTTCTCATGGAAAAACTCATTATGTCAAAAGTGCATTCACTGAACAATAAACGAAGCTCCTAAGGACGTGCCAAATTGCCCTCTTTAACACCTTTTTTTGCAACGCTGTCTCTTGTGCGGTGGACCAAAACCAAAAAAGGATAAAACCCAATAGTAAAAACCATCACAAACCTTACGTCTGTATCACAGGTAGCAGCGATTCAAAAGGATACACCCAGTCTAGCTTCAGCTTCTTAGGAGGCAGGTCAGCCTTTGCTTCCAGACAGTATGTATCCACCAGCTCTTTGGGCATGTACATGGTGATGGGCCGTCCCTTCAAATACATTTTGACATACCCTTCATCTAAAAAAGTAACAGATTTTCAGAACAAGGAATCATACAAGACTGCCATGACAGTCCATGTAACGTAAATGCGATGCAAAGTTAAATGAAACATACATTTCATCAAATTGTATTAATCTTCCTGTGGTGTGTGTACTTTATCAGTGGGTTTATAGTGCTTAAGCAAGGTTAGAACAACAAGATGTGAGAATTTTAGAGAAAAGAGAATTAAAGAGTTTATCAAGCATATGTGTCAATAATCGAACTGCAGGAAAAAGAAAGAAAATAAAGTCCTTTTGATTCCTTTTATTATGTTTCTGAGATACATTCGAACACTGAAGTAGTAACACACAATGATAAATAAAAAGGGAGATTGTGCAGCTAGTTTCCTGGCCTCGCAGCTTTAGTTACATGTACATGATATAAAATTAAAGAGAGAAGACATTCAGGCAAAGCAAAAGGGGGAAAAGATTCACAGTGAGTTAACAGAAATGAAGGAGAATTCCACCAAAAGCATAATTTTTCATGTCTCCTGATGCATTCTTGAACAGTAGTGTTTCTGCTTACTGCTGTCAGCAATGTGTTTGTGCCTGAGGCTCGAACTCCCCTTTATGTCATGTGGAGATAATGCTTGGCTGCTGCCATCATGTTAAATGAATAGATGATTCATTTCATGTCCTTGGTCATGTGAGCCACATAGTAACTTCATAGAAAGCAACTATCTGCATTGTTGTAAATACAAAGTGACAAACTCAAGTGAACCACAACACATTTAGGTCAGTCGTCATTCTTTATAGAGAGACATGAAAACGTGTGAGCAGTGAAAAAGGTGGTAAGTTCAGAAACCAATCCCTTGTAGTAGGTTCCAGTAGCAGCGTTCCTAGGCAAAAAAATTTGTGATTTTAGCATGACAGTTCTGGTGCATTCTGATGTTCTCTGAGACTGCCATACAGGGGTAATTACGATGGAATTATTTAGTTCATTATTGAGTTCAATAACTGTGCAAATATATATCACGTTCAAAATTGTACCATTTTCTAGGTATTTTGACGAATTCATTCAAAATGTATTACCATACCAAGGTCAAAAGATTGTGTATGAAACAGAGGTACAAACAGACGCCATTCTAAAAACTTTGCCCATCATGTGTTGTGTTAAAAGGCATATACTGGCTCTATAACAACATTATATGCTTGGACCCCAATAATCGCCACCTATGAGATATAATTTGTTGACAGCTGCTGTGATCTTATAGAGATTATGACAGTCCACAGAAATCAAGTGTTGTACATCAGTTTCAAATGTAAAAATTAAGCGGAAGCTGACTGACTGCTAACAATGACACAGTACACATAGTCTTTGCCGGCCGTCCAAAAGCTAATGAAGAAGGAATCTGCGAAAATAAAACCAACTTCACAGCTCACGAAAATTTAACCATAGTTCTGACTAATGTTTGGGACAGAGGAGCAATTCTCTTCTAACAATTATCAGAGAAGACCCCCTTCAAAATGAAAAACTCATCAAACCTACATGATTCATAAGAGTCACATGTACATCATTTAAAAGGCAGAATTTTGCCGAGAAATGAAGAGTTTGCGTAAATAATAAGCTACTGATGATGATTCTGCCAAAAACATGTAAAAATGCGTGTACTAGCTTGCAGTAATATATTTTTTAACATTCTTGGAGTATACATTTATCTGTGTTATTGTTTTGTTGAAGAAAATTTTGGTGGAATTCCCCTTTAAACAAAACAGACTAAAGCATAACAAAACCAAAGTAAAAGTGTCAAACATGAAAGCTGACATACAGAAACAGAAAAAAACAGCTTAGTAGACATAAACAGAAGAAACAAAAAGAAAAAGAAAACAAGTAAAGAACAAATTAAAATAAAAAAGTTGTTCAAACTGACTGAGCTATTTTCAAAATCAGAGCTACAGCTGTGATTAGTAACAGATTTGAAAGTACTGGCTGGGGGATTTGATGGGGCTCCTGTAGCTGGGCGTGTCTAAAGGAGAGCAGGCAGACTGAGAGGGGCACTTCCTCAGTGGGAGGGTAAACGGCGGGACCTTTGTGCCTCCGGGCCGGGCCGCTCTGCTGGACGCGTTCTTGGCCTCTGGAGGAGTGTTTGCAGAGCATGAGGGCACGGCTGATGTGGATTTGGGGGGCTCAGTGGACGCAGTCCCTTTTGCCGGCCGGTGCAGGTATATCTGCACGGTCACTAGGTGGAATGTCGGGATTGGAGAGGGCCGGTTGGGGGAGGGGCAGAAAGGTGGAGTGGAGTATAACGGATTCACAGTCAAAAATCATCTCCCACATCCTCCGAGACCACCACAGTCAGCACAACATGAACTACTGGATTACAAACTAATGTGGGGAAGAGGCTTTGGAAAAATAATTCTTTAATTTAATATTAACCCTTAGAAGTCAAGAGTTATTACGTTCCTTGGTATACTATCCAAATGCAGTAACATAATTCAATGTTTCATTGCACAGTGAGTTATGCAATGGTCTTTTATCTTTGTTTCGATGTCAAAAAATGGCAAAAAAGTAAAAGATTTTTTTTGCAAAACAAGACTACAAACAACAGTAAGTTTTCATCAAACTGAAGACATAAAATATCAGTAATGCTTTCTTTTATAGTACCTTAAGTTCTAGATATTAGCTGTGGATGGGCATGTCAATCAACCTTGATATTTGAATTTTTAAGGAATGTTTTAGAGAAAAAAAATGATGTATAGGAATTTTCAAACTACAGGCAACTGCACACCTGATGCGTCACGAGACAGTGACCAGAGACAGTGGAACCACTCAGCATTTTACTATTACTATAATATATTAAAACCAAACCCAGATCACAAATCCATAGTAGGTGATAAAATATGTGGTTGTAAATATATACAGAGAAAGGTGTCAGTCTAAAGTCTTTAAGAGAAACAGATGAAAGCTAATCATCTGCTTTCACCCTCTCACCTTAGCTGATAACAAACCTGATAAATTCTCTAAATGATGATTTTTTTTTCCATTAAATCAATACGAGTAGAGTGTAAAATGAGTTTTATATTTATTTGTGCTTTTCTGCCATGCTTATGTGCTGTAGCTGCACTTCGTACTAACTGATATCCTCTGCCAGCATGGTGCGAAGCTTCTCGTCCAGTGTGCAGTAGCCTTTAGGCTGCTTTAGAAGTCTTCTTTGGTTCCTACTTTAAAGTAAACAAATACGAAACTCTGACCAAAACTTGAGACGCAGATTCTATAGTGCCCTCTGTTGGAGAACAGAGTTCAGACATCTCATAGTTCTTATGAGAATAACATTACAGACAAGGTCATTTGCATATCCAACATCCTAATTAACTATTCAGGTTTTTAAACTTTTATGACTATTTGAGTATTCAAACATTCTGGCAGATCCCTAGTATTAACCAGGTGAATGTGAGGTACAAATTCCAGAGAAAGAGGTAATTATTTTGGAAAATATGTTGGTAAGTTCTAAGACATGCTAAATTACTGTGAAATGCCAAACAGGTTCTAGTAAGAATTACTGCTTTCATTTACAGCTCAAGTTCAGTTTGTTTCTAGGTTACAGACAGGTACATAATACATGAGGTTCTTATGTCTTTGGATAGCATTTTTACCTCGTATAGTGAATAGCTAGAACCTGTTGGGCATTTCAGTGTAATATAGCTTGAAACCTACCTGTTATGTGGAGTTTGTACCTCACACTTACCTTGTTGATACCTAGAACATAAGGAACTTTAAAAGAAAGCAATACCAAAATGTCTTCTTTTTTTACTTACAAACACAAATCTGGTATTGGCTAAAAGTCTAAAATCACTACACTTGTTTTAATGAGACAAATAAATAACATCAAATGACACCATAGTTTTGTTATCATCTGCAATAACCGCAGCTTGTAAGGGTTAACTGTAAATGTAAAAATACTACTTTAGTGTTCATTAAACCTGGGAAAACACTACATTACTGGGATCTTGTATTCACAGGGGTAATCTGGATGGAATATTATCTAATGAGATGACTATTCTATAAAGCCAAACTGATTGATAAAAGGTACAACTGTTTACAGAAGACTAGCATGGTCATTCTTCCACAGCTTCTTTTAAAAATGTGAAAGAAATACTCTCACTTGGCCAGAATCTGTTACAAGAAACAAAAAAAGAAGCATTCCCAAGAAAATTCAGAGGCACATGTTTTTCATGATGAAAAATGTCAGGCCTTGAAAGGACTGAAAGTGCAACTACAGGCGCCTGAAGTGAAAGCTTTGCTGGCAAGTCTTTAAGTGGGCTGCTGGGTAACTGCAGCAGAATGCGTGTTCCCATGGTGCATGTGAAAAATAAGCACCATGGGCTGTGAGCAAACACACAGCGTGCCTCTCGCAGGTTAACAGCTAGTGTATCAGCGTCACTGCAAAATCACTGCAATCAACCACAGGCTGACGGCTCACTCTCAGTGAAGTGTTAGAGAGAGAGAGTGCTCATTAGTCCATTGGGAAGGCTTGCACTTTGGAGGTGAAGAGGGGGTTTCTGTCACACGCACATCTATCACATCAACTCTGGCCCTTACGCAACACAGCTCTCGGGGCATTGGTTCTGTGATGTCCTAAAGCCAGACTATGCCACTATGAGTCAGTTAGCATTACCATCCAATCTAATGAAGAGCATGTTAGATGAAAAAGATCACACTGTAAGCTGTATCTTACACTACTAGCCCCACATAAGGGTTAGCAGTCTTACTCCAAAAGCAATGTTTTTCCAACCTCATCCTCATGCAGCCAGTTCTTTGTTTTTCCTGCTTCAGCACACTTCGTTGGTTATCAAACTTTTCATAAACTGAATTAGTTGTGAGTGATAGTTCGGCAAAAAACAAATTTACACAATTTTCCTCTTACCCAAAATATAGCTGATCAGGCATGTTTGGTGTCTTAAGTTTTGTTCTTTGGCCTTGCACTAAAACTGTACAGCTAATGTGGCTAACAAGCAATAGAGTTATGTATATCAATTAGCTCTGTGCAAACTGCATGAATAAATAACCATAAACGTGCATCAAATTATGCTGTACGCTTGTATAATATTCAGGCTTCAAGTTAGCTACTACTAATGTATTAGCTATGCAACATACTTGTCTGCTTGTATTAATAACAGACAGGGTCAGAAATCACATCATCATATAGGGCTGAAAAGTTAATCATTTTTATATCAAAATCACAATTTTAATTCCCAAGAGCTGCAATTTTAATTCTATCATGCACTCCTAAAAAAGATGATTCTTCAGTGGTTCTTTAGTAAAGGAAATGGTTCTGTATAGTACCATGAACACTCGAAGAACTCTTAGCACGATTAAATGGTTTGTTCTTCAGATTGACGCAGAATGTGCTGTGGATGGTTCTATGTAGAACCTTTTTGAAATGGTACCAAAATATGGTACCAAAAAGGGTTCCAAAAGGGTAGCAAATATGGTACCAAAAAGGGTTCTTTTACTGTTACAAGTTTGACATCGTAATAACAGCAGAACCTTTTTGGGTGCCATATAGGACCCTTTTCAACAAGATTCTATATAGAACCATCCACAGCATGATGGTTCATGATGTAAAGAACCTTTTAATCATGCAAAGGTTCTTACAAGTTCTTTAAATGTTCATGGTTCTACACAGAACCATTTTCTTTACTAAACAACCACAGAAGAATCATCTTTTTTAAGAGTGTACATTATTCACAGTTGGTCATGAACTCTCTAGCACAATACATTCAGTGTTCAAGATTCAAGCCTAAAAATGGATATGCTGCTCTTCATGGCAAAAAAGGAATGGAGCTTAAATTAAAGAATTTAAAGTGCAATCGCAATATTATAGACAGAACAGAAAAATCACAATACGATTACGATTTTCTGCAAAACGTTCAGGCCTACAATCAAGTCTAAGATGATCACAAGTCCCAGGGAATATAGTGCTCCAGTGCAAAACTACAACAGCAAACTTCAGACACCAAGCAGGTCTTTGGCTAATTGACTAAACTTAGGCTAAAAGGAAAACTGTGTGAAATCTGAATTTTCAATGAAATGTTGCTGTAAAGCAGGAAAACATTAAACTGCAGCATAAGGGGACTTCAGTTTCAGAACAAGATAACATTGTCCTAAAGAATCATATAACATGCTCTCTTTTTTTAGGTAAATCAGTACCAACTGACATAAATGATGAGTTGCAGAAGTACTGACATCACTGGCACAGTTTTCTGAAAGCATAGCTATTGCAAGTTTTCTTTGAAAGTTTAACTCCAGAGTTACTGCATTCACTACTCAGAGCAACAGCTGTGATACAGCTAACCTTGCTTTAGAATCACACAATGCCCACAGAGCTGCTCTAGGTGAGGGAGGGTTGAGGATCAGGGCCTACCTTTACAGTGCGTCACCCGCCGCATCCCTTTGTGAGTGTACAAAGACAGAGATAGAGATTGTGTGAGAGGGCTCTTACAGAGAGAGAGAAAGAGAAAGAGAGAGAGAGAGAGAGATCCCTGCTCATCAGATCCTGGGTCACCCTGTCTGGTTAATTACTCTACAAGGCCCTCCAGGGGAGACATCTCGTTGGACATCTCTCTGCTCCAGATAACAAATGAACTCCAGTTAATTTGGTGTTTGGTTAATTCACTTAACATCTGGAAAGGGTGTTGTGATGACTTCAGCTAATCAGGGGATCTGGCATGATTGTTACAATATGGTCAAACATAAGGTAAATGCCCCAGGCAGGACGGCTGATTGTATAGTCTATTGCAATGGAATGTAGACTAGATTTGTACATTATTTATGTTTACTGTATTTTTTGCCACTTTGTCACATTAAAAAATTTGTAGCTAAGTTCTAATTATGTAAAGGATTTTGGTTGCACCCTACTACATAACACTGACACAACCACGCCATAAATATGTCAAGGCAAATCATGCTGTCATAAGCTGTTACGATAGATTATGTCCAGGAATGTAACAGTGTCACGTTATCATTACCAGTAACTGTCATGATCAGTGCAATAATGTGTGATGTTATAATGAATAACTAGAGCACACTTAGTAAAAATTAGTGTGATTTAAGCTGTCAAGACATTTACAAATATTACGATATCTGTGCTGACAGTTACTGGTAATGTTAACATACAGTCATATCATTGAAAAAAATCTCTGATTAACAACTCATGACAACACATGACGTCTGCCAAAACATGTTTATGGCATGGTTATGTCAATGTTATGTAGCAGGTCAAGTAAGTAATATCAGACTTTGTTCAAGGCGTTGTGAAACCTTGGGTACCTCAGCTTAAGCAACTTTATTTTCTACTATTTTTGTGCACAATAAAAGAAAAGATCACCAATAGATACCATATATTTAAATCAGGGATGGATTTTTATGGGTGATTCTGATTTCTTTACAGCCAAATTGCCTGATTTCTCTTTTCTTAGCCTTTTGTTAACCTAAAGTTCCCAAAGTTGTAATTACAAGTAACATTATTTGTTCTCTAATAGGCCAAAATGGTATTTATGTTCTTAAACAAAAAAACAGTTGCCCATTAAAATACATAGTTGTATTTGAGTGCATGTAAATGATATTTAAATAATATGATTACCATCATAAAAATGCAACATAGATTGGCCAAAATCTAAATACTAAATTATAATTTATATATTCCCTACTGCTGTGCTACTTACATGTTCATTTTGTCTTTTTATTGTTGCTCTTCGTAACAGTTTTCATAAAAGGCAGTTAAACAATTGGTTCTTGCTAGCCAAATTCGTAAATTATAATATATTTCTATTTATTTATAAAATAATATCTGCATTACACAGTAAGAATCATGGACAATAAAGAAGGTTTCAAAAGGCTAATTGTTTAACTGAGCCACCCAAATTGGATAAAGATATTCCGCAGCCTAGTGCCCAATTACACATCAATCAATAACATCGAGAACATTGGTTTGCTAACTTGCTAATTATCGAAATCAATACACATTTAAATGGTAGCTGTAGGGAGTAAAGTCTAAGATAGTCTATGGTATCTCCATGACTACATGTCTGCGTGTGAAAGCAACAGCATAAATAAAAACCAAACACAACAGAAAAGGAGAATACTAAAAAGTATGTTACAGGTAAAGAACGGATGAAATGGGTTACTGATTGCATTGAGTTGTTACTAGCTGGCTGGATGAATTGCTTCAACACAAACAGCACCACACGCTGCACTACAACTGCCAGTGAACCTTTACGAGCCAAGACTGGAGGAGGCAAAACCATAAGCATGAAATGATTTTTCCTTTGGCCTTGTTTCACTTGTTTAACAATGGAAGAGATGATTCACTACAGGCAAGAAGTCCATTAAAAACAATGTCTGCCCCCTTCCTAAACTGAATTTCACTGCAGCTAATTAAAATTGGTGAAACAGTTCAAATTTGTAACCTCAGGCCATCATCTATCTTGAAATTGTGCTTGTCAGGGTCAGTGGAAAGTCCAGCTCTGATGCTCTTAATCTTTTCCCATAAGTCCAGTAAGAAAAGCAATGAACATGAGCGCATGGAGATGTTTGACCATGACTCCTCCAGCCTTGGCCCATAGTAATGAAACTGCATAGAAGCAAACATCACAGCACCAGCCGGCACTTACCAGCACTGAATACAGGCTCCCTCTGTTTGCTGCAGGAGGTGAGAGAGGCAGTACGTCACCCAAATGAGGCATGTGTCACTGTGTATGTGAGTTTGTTTTTTATATTTATTTTCATGAAAAAACAAACCAAACAGAGGTTACATACTTTGACTTTAGACTAAAGTTAACTCTTGTGCTGAGACTCAAAAACGACACACTGTAACCTTCAAATTGTATAATCTACCTTGTATACCACGCTGTGCCTAAGTCAGAGACCACCCTTCTTTTATTTAATTTTCAATCAAAATGAAGCTATTCATATTTCAGGAGATATTTCTGTATGTAGATTAGATTTAAGACAAAAACTTGCATAAGAAGGGGGTTAGTCAAAAGCAAATGAGTGAAAAAACACAAGTGTCCAAAACTGGAGTTCAAAAAATGATTAAAAGATATAGAGAAAATGTGACTTCTAAGAACCATGCAAGACCTGTTAGGCCACCACAACTGTCTCCAAAAGATAAACACTGCTTCATCTTTGAAAGATAGGAGACAATTAAATTCCACTCTTGCTTCAGATCTCAAAAAATCCACAAATGTTTCTGTCCATCCTTCCACTGTGAAAAGACAACTTAGCGCTATGGGTCTGAAAGCATGTGCAGCTGTCAAGAAGCTGTTTCTTACATCTACAGATGTTACAAAATGGGTCTGATTCCCAATTCCCAGTTCTGTTTCAGGCATAAACTGGCATTTTTACGTATGTTCTGGGAATGTGAGCCTACTACAGACTTTTGGAAAATTGTTAATGCCACTCTAATTAAAGCCACAAGCTCTGTTCTTTGTTTTACTGAATGATGGTGAATATTTTATACTTAATGAACACAGAATTATCTTATGCAGTTTTTTCTGCAACAATGATGATCATTCAAATTTGATTTACTCCTAATTTTTACACTTGACAGAATGGTGAGCCTTGAAGGTACGACTGCAAGGTTGAAGAAGGCCCAATCAAAGATAACACAAGCTTGCACTGAAATGGCATCTAATACTGGAAAGTTTGTACAGACATTTTATATATTCTTGATCACAAAAAAGAAGCTGTTTCTAATAAAAGGAAAAAGAAAATTTGCAAATCAAACAAAGAAGCTGTTGGTGTTCTCAGAGCAATGGCCTGACCACCCCAAAGTCCAGACCTCAACATCATTTAATGGGCTTGGGATTACATGGAGCATGAGAAGCAAAAATTCAACCAACTTCTAAGACTGATCTTTGGAGGTATAAAAAAATATCCCTGCAGATTTCTCTGAAAAGTCTCCTAAAAAGAATGGAAGCTGTTATAAAAGCCAAGGCTGGCCATACCAAATACTGAAGTTTTGGATATTTTATTTTACACTGAACAAAAATATAAATGCAACACTAACCCGCAAAAAACAGACTGGGTCGTAGAACAGAATTCCCACATTGGTATCTAATTTGACGAGCAGTGTAACAAATTTCTATTTTTATTCAGTATAGTTGTTGGGGCTTCTGAGTAATTTTGTGTTAAATGTATATTTATTTTTTCTGGTGCTGAAAAATAAATAAATTGTAGTTAACATTTGTTTTGACAGGAAATGGTGGTCTCCAACTTTTGCCTAGTACTGTACATGTGTAAAATATTACCAGTGTTCAGTTAACAGTAGTATGACATTTATATTGACCTACTCAAATTACAGACAGGAGTTAATTCAGCACTGAAGTTTTTACTGTGTTTGTGTGCAACAGCTAATATGCTTCTTATCTTTGAGTTCATGTCCTCACAGTGCATTAAAAATATGCCAATCACATGCTGAATGTGTATCATTAAAGGAACAAGACATGCACTGAGTGTTTACTGTACCTTTCACTGGCTCTCTTGCCACTGGAGTTGCTCCCGGTGGAGCCAGTGCGCGTGCGGTTACTTTTGGCATCTCCCCCGCTGTCCTTCCTGCTGGTGGGACCCACCTGTTCTGATGAACTCGTTCTTTTCACAGTGCTGAGGATGGACAGGAGAGTGAAAACATTAGCTTAACTCTGGATGAAGTATAGCCATACATTTGCTCAAAATGTAGAAAAAGACAGCCCAACTAATAAGCTAATTAAAGGAATATTTCAGTGCTTTCCAGCCTGATCTCTATCTGCTGCCATCTCTAAAAAAAGAACAGAAAACCTCGACTTGAAACTCACTTATAGTAGAAGCCCCCGAGCAGTCTGAAACATTCATTTTTGTGGATTTTTTAGATGATTTTTTAATTCAGACGTATTTAGCCATTAAGCTATACATCTTTTTACAGACAGGACTCTTCCAGAGAAGAATTTGTAGTAATATGTTATCTACATAGTATTTTTTTACAGGCCCTTGATGCAGTACTTTGAGATTAGGTTGAAAAACACTACATGTTCCTTTTACCAAGACCTTCTTGAGTTGAAGTAGATATTTTAGACATTAAAATGTGCAACACCACTGTTGGGAACCTCTGGTTTAAAAAAATTAACCGAACAACAACCGTTCAACCTTGAATGCTATCTAAAAAGAATACACAAAAATTTTCCAATGTTTCTCAAAGTAACTTTTAGTGAGCAATATTTTTCACATATGAGCCCATGCTTCAGTCAGGAAATGGTCCTGTGCATGTGCATAAACATTTACTCAGAAGAGAGGAAATGGTGCTTGAGAGATAACACTGGAAACACTGCCCCCAATACACCACTGACAGCCAGTTATAACAACTATCCAGCCTTTACAATTGCCGAAGACAAACACGAAACATATGCTAGACACAGGGCCGCTGCAGCTGGAAGGGGAAACATGTTTTTATTTGTTTTTCCCCTGACACGCTCATGACCAGATTTGCGATGGCTTTGGGTGGACGCAGAGGGGTGAATGTAGACAGGCTGCCCTTTCAAACGCCTAAACAAAAGAAAAGGCCATATCAGCAGTCTACTGGTTGCCAGGCTCAAGCCTAATCCAAGCTGCATGGGCAAAGTTCTTTCAGGTCAGTTATGGTCTGGTGGCATTATCCTCTGTGGAGGGAGCTGCAGGATGTTTGAGCTTGAAGAGGCACTTTGTTAATGATGGCACTTCAGACATACAACTGGAAGGGGTATAGAGTTAATCTAAAGTCTACACAGTCCTTACTCTAGTTTGTGGTGGGAAAAGGCCTGGTGGAAAGGAGCAAGATCATTAAAATGGTCTGAGGACAATGGAAACTACGGAACCCTGTTTTGAAGCCAAAGAATGTTCAGTTTCTCAAATGAACTAGTTACTTCCTGAACGATCTTAAGACACTCGTGGTTCAAATGAGGAGCAGAATAGTAATCCAGAATACCGTCTTAAAATGGGTTATGAACGCTGGCCTGACCCTCTGAAAACCTAAGCCGTACAAGCTACCATAATGTATTGTACTAAAGTGTTAAAAACATTTTCTGGATTACAAATGACATTGCCTTATGTTTTTCTGAAATTTCAGATAATATTTTTGTGAAGATTTTCAAGGCCAAAAAAAGTTCTTTTTCTGCAGGAACTGGCTGTGCCTGAAATGTAACAAAGCATTCAGGGACAGAAATTTGAATCGAATGTTTGCATAAGCTGCTGCCTGCTGAGATTTCACCATCTGGTTTTTTAAGGCAATATACAATAGTGCTAGACAGTTTGTCAAACCTTTAGCACTCTGTGAATTTCTGCATAAACTTGTCCTAAAATGTGATCACACCTTCATTTAATTAATAACAATAGTATTTCTATCATTTACTGAACAAAGTGATCCAACATTAAATGTCATCCAGCATCAAATACAGTATGTGAACCTCTGCCTTCTATAACTGGTGTGACCCCCTTGAGCAGCAATGACTTCAACCAAATGTTTCCTGTAACTGTTTATCAGTCCCGCACATTGACTTGGAAGAATTTTGGCCCATTGCTCCTTACAGAACTGCTTCAACTCAGAGATGTTGGTGGGCTTTCTTGCATGAACTCCATGCTTCAGGTCCACAACATTTCTACTGGAATAAGATCTGGAATGTGACTCAGTCGTTCCAAAATGTAACATTTTTTCCGCTTCAACCATCTGACTGGTGTTTTCAGGGTCATTGTCTCGCTGCAAGATCCATCTCCTCTTGAGCTTTAGTTCATGGTTGGATGCCCTTACATTCTCCTGTATGATTTACTGACACAATATAGAATCCATAGTTCCATCAAATGATGGCAAGTAGTTCTGGTCCAATGCCAGCAAAACAGCTCCATATCATGATACTGCCACCACCGTGTTTCGCAGTTAAGATGAGATTCTTATGCTGGAATGCAGTGTTCGGTTTTCACCAAACATAATGTTTCTCATTTAAGCCAAAAAGTTCTGTTTCTGCCTTGTCTTCAGGCTTATGCAGGTGGTCTTTAGGAAACTTTAAACAGTAATGTTCTTCTTGGAGAGTGGGGACTTCCTCTCTGCTATCATTCCATTCACAATATTCTTGTTCAGTGTTTGCCTGATGGTGGACTCATGAACCTCAACATTAGTCACCGCAAGAAAGACCTGCAAATCCCGTTATTGATGTTCATGATCATTGATGTTACCCTGTTGTTTTTTGTGATCCCACAGAGTATTACACACCTATTATACCTATATCTATTACATTATACACTTTGTTCTTTGAGCTTTCACAAGAGCTAGGCTACAGTTTTTACTATTAGCAGAAATGCTAGTAATAATCCAAAGCTTGATGTCTGAAGTTACGCTCAAAGCTTAATTTACCTAAAATATTACATTTTGGTTATTAAAAGTGTCAGACCAAAGCCTTCTTAAAACATTTTCTGAGGGAAAATACTAACAGCTAATGTCATCCACCATCCAGAAGCTGCTTTCAATTTCAGATGTAGCCATTTCAAAGAAAAAGAAACACTGAAAGCCAGGCAAGGTACACTAAAAGGTTTGAGATAACTAGTTTATAACACTCATAGGAAGGATTCTTCAGAGTTGTGAACAGACACTCTCACCTGTAGGATCTGAGTAGAAACTTGGATGAGCTGGACAGACTGGACACACTGGACAGAGAGCATGCGACATGGGGAAGGAGACGAGGAAGGGACACAGGAGAATCAGAGAGTGAGACAAAGGTGAGACAGATGGCTCAAAGACATTTGAAGGAAATGAGTGAAGAAGATGAGTCAGAGAAAAAGTATGCAGGTTTATTAACTAAGAACCTCTTTTCAGAGTCGTCACATTCATCATTCAGCTGGCATCAAGATTTGTTTTGGCTATTATAATTCTGAAACCATTTCACAAGAGGACGCCTTGTAGATCAGCCAAATGGAAGACATTTGTAACAGATGTGTTCTTATCAGCGGGTAACATTAGTTTTCGAATCATTAACTTCACATCAATATTTAAAGGGGTGGCGTACTAGCCAGAGGACACACACACATCTCTGAGGAGACTTGCACGATTGTCAAACATTCAAAGCAAATTATAGTCTGATCTCTGAGCAAACAATATATATTGTTCACTAATCCCTGTCAGCTTAGAGTCACCTCAGTGCCAGATAGTATGGGTCTCTGAATAAGAAACTGATGTGGGTCAATAATCTGCTTTGCTAAGATCAAACAAAATTACAGATGGAGCTCTGAGAGGGAAGAAGTTATTTCTTCTGTCACTCTCTGTAGTGCCATCATAACTAAATTAACTGAGCATTCGAGGCATTGTCAGGCTTGTGTTTGGTCATATATAGTGTATGGTCATACAGTGGGATGTCGCAATTAAATTTGATTTCAATTACTCAATTACACAATTTAAAAAAGTGATCAATTAAAATTTATGTTACTGATGAACTGGTAAGTACTGGCTGGCAGATTACCTGATACGATAATATTGTGAAATGACAATATTGTGAAAAGCTCAAGAAGAAAGAAGAGACAATAGAGAGTTGAAAGACACTGAAAAGCGTTTTCAGTTTTTATGGTCTGGTTGTGTTTTGTGAAAGAAAAATAAAGTAAATGTCAGCTGCTGCAACCGTCAGCTCTGCTTCCTGTGTCCCTCCTCAGCCCGGGGTAGCACAAATACATAATACTACTGGTCACAGTATAAAAAAAGCCTGATGGCCAATTTATATGCATATTGCCACATCATGTTTTTAATTATTTTGTTGTAAGTTTTTTTAAAGGCTGCTTTGTTCTGTTTTTTCTAAAAATATGTTTTGTAACCTTTTAAGGGCTGTGCATAGTAGGGCCCAACATATGGTTGGCTGAATATATACATATATATATAGATATAGGCAAAAATATCACAGAAACCATATCGATAATTGGTGTTTTTTTTTCTTTGCTTGTTTTTGTTTTTTGAGTTTAGAAGATGTGATAACTGAGAACTGACAATCATACCCACCTATAAAGCACTATTAAACTAAAACTATTGGAATCTACTTAAGCAACAGACCACAAGAGGGAGCATGTTTTAATGAATAACAGCAGCAAATAAATAGAAATTTGCTCAAAATGTGCAGAAAATGCCATATTTAAATTCTCTGTAGTGGAGATGTACTTCTTTTCAAAACAAGACCCAAACTTTTGTATAAGATTTTATATACTAAAGTAGAAACTCTTTAACAGTTAGCTGCAGTGTAAAGCAATGATTCAGTTATTGTGAAAAAAATGTGCTTTAAAAACAGCACCATTGCTAGAGAGCTCCTTAATCAATCACCTTGCTTGGTTGGAACTAACTTTTGTATGAAACTAAAATATAAATATAAAATTGTATTATCGGTAATCAGTATTAGAAAAGCACATTTAATTATTAATCCTTAATTGTCCACATGCTGAAAACTGCTCTACTGACCACGCATTCTACATGTGTGGAATACACACCATCCCATCCTCCATCTACTCAGTCATCCATCCACCCTTAGACTATCATAAATGAGCTCCAAGCGAGACAGCGACTGAGGGAGAGAGCAATATTTTGACGGGGGGAAGATTGATCACCTCGTCTCATTCCCCCCAGTCACTCTTTCACACAGTGCATCAGAATGGCACAGCACTAAGAGTGACATCACGGCAGCAGCGGCGGCTCTAGTGGTGAGGAATGTCAGGTTGGGTCTCTGTGGAATTGCGTGACAGCGAGAGATTATGTTATCGGTGTCCTGTGACATGCTAACATTTATAAAATAGAACAGCATCATGTTGTAGAAGAAGCGGAGCGGGAAATACTGAAATTCGAATGAGCGAGATATGCTAATTTTATTGTTTATGATGACAGCTGGGCAGTTAAAGATGATAAATAAAAAGCAGAATCTAAAAGGCAATGTACTAATGTCTGGGATGAATTCATACGCACATAATGTCATAGAACACTGATGGAAATACAAGAAAATGGACAAATTTTACATGTAAGTGATGACAGAACTAGACACTAGTTTATTTTTGTAGTATCATATACTGAAAACAGAGCTGTCACTGTCAATTATGTTAGTTATCAATCAATTACAACACTTAATTGAGTGGAGTGACCAACAGTTTTTTTAATGGTTAAATAATAAAAATAAACAATAACAAACCATGCCTAGCCTGCCTTTCAAATTTTCCAGAATAGATTACTGAAAAAAAGAGAAATTAGGAAGCCTTTAAAGGGCCCATCCATACATTCTCTAGTATTTTTGTCTCAAGATCCACTTATTACGTTTAAGTGGGTTTTTGTACCAAAAACAGCAACAGCAAACAGCAACATTTTTAGATAATTTTACATTAATTTCTGATATATGTAAATGATCTCTTTTCTGATTGACTACCCTGTCAATCAAAAAGCAGTCTGGCCTTAAATGTTCCTCATAACTTCAGTATGAGCAGGGCTACACTGCTGTAGGCTGAATAGGCTAATATACATAATTGTGTGGGCTTTTGTGATGCCACAGCTTAGTTTCCACATGTGGACTGTGTGGACTGGGGAGTGAATGGTATATTTTATCTTAACAAGTAATGTTATGTAACAATGTAACGATATTATTTTTTTCAGAAAAAACAGATAAAATAAATTTTCTATGATAATGACCCATTGAAAAGACTTTTACAGACTTCAAGACTCCATCAGACTCTGTTTCTTACTGTAAATTAAGCTAGTAAGAGGGTAAAATATGCATTAACATCCTACAAAGTGGCAATTAGTCATTGAGAAGGTAATTAATCAATATTATTTTAATTGAGTAATCAAGTTTAATTGGTAAGTGAGTAACCAGGAACAGCCCTAATGAAATGCTGTAATATATAAATTAATGCATGTAATACTATCTGAAGCATTCTACCGAATTAGTTTAAACTGCAGTTACACAGTAAAAAAAAATTTAAAATACTATTATGTGTTCAACCCTTAAATAACTACAAGGATTATGTTATGCTTTAGAAATAGTAATAAGATAAATATATATAAAATCATCATTTATAGGGTTTTTTTTTTTGGAAGGTGACTGTCCCAAATCCTAACCCCAAAATTTCAGCTTGTGAAAATATCTGCATTTTTTAATTTTGTTTTTAGAAGGTCTAAAGGTCCGTAGGCAGAACCTTATTTTAGCCACCCCCTTGCACTGTAGAGCAGGAAGTGAGACTGCATCCCTGTCCCTCCTGGACACATGGTGAGCAGTTAGATGCCATTGTTTTGAAGTAACTTTGTCCAAAAGTCTAAAAATCAGTGTGTAACATTAACAATTGTCACTATCGAAAGACACATTTCTGAAATTAAGTAAACTTTTTTGTGTTTTAATGAAAAATATTATGATTGTATGTGTGTATAACTATTCAAGGTCATGTACTGTCTAGTATTTTTGAGTTATGCTCAGCATTTGCTTTCAAAAATACACATAATTAAGGTACAGGGATTTTAGTCTAAACTCAGTTATATGTCCGAAATGTTTTTTCAACTCTGACTTTGAACCAATTTGGTAGAATGATCCATATACTGGGATTATTTACTGTGGATGTATAATAAACCCCAATCCATATAGTCTAAACCACTAATGCTATAAAACTGGGGGTCCTAACTGTTGTCCAAATTTTTAGGTAGGCACTTATAGACACTTATATTCAGATACTCCTGACATGCTTGATTAACTGGATCAGGTGTGTTAGAATAACTAAAGCTGGGCCTATTTTACATGATCTTTAAAGCTGATTTGCCACTTTCTACAAAATATCATAATGGGAAATGGTTTTCCAGGTTGGGAGCTCAGCCTAAAGCGCTTGACAGCACAGATTATCTGGTAGCGTGAGAGAAGAGTTCTTCTTTAGCCCTCTGATCTAGCTCCAAAATGATCTCCCAATATTTTAAACATGACCTATAGTATGAGGTGGTCAGTGATGTAATTGAACAAGTGATTTAGGCAACAGCCAATGAGAGAGCTAAGATAAAAAAAAAGGTGAAGAGACGTGTGTGCACACCACATGGGCAGAGACCAAGGAGATGACCACAGGCAAATAGTCACTCTCTTTACAATTTAAGCAAGCTAATATTTTGAAGTAACTTTTCTCCAGCTGTCACTGTGATATCTAAACCATGTATTCATGCCCAGTTTGTGATTTTACTTTTTGTGTGTGCATAAAAGCATCACAGAAGCAGAACTGGGCACCCCTTCAATAAAAGATCAAATTAGAACTTGATAATTTATGTGTTTACATCCATTTAAACCCTGAAATGTGTTCTAATATGTGTGTGTATTTGTGTATGGGTCGTAACTGATTACACACAAGCTCATTGGGAACTCAGAGCACTGTCTACAACAGCATGCCACAGACAAACTCCTCTCGATTGCACTCTCTGTTAGACACAGTGTCCCTGAGGTCCAATTCACTAAAACTCACTAAAGCTTCATTTTACTACATAAGGTTTGGACAAAAGCCATGAACCACAGGGCAAGAAGAAGCAGCAGCTATTCTAAAGCTGAAGTCTTTTGTTGTAAGTTCAATTGGGGATCAGTGTCATAGTGTCCCACCTCTTGGTTGCTGGTGAGTTGATGTCCTTCTTGGAGCCCGAGGGTGACGGCAGCGTGCCGCTTTTCTTTGGTAGGACATTGCCATTGTTGACTGTGGGCCTCAGTGGCAAGGCTGCGATCATTGGCCTGGCTGTGTGACAAGTGGGGAAAAAAGAAAAGATGCTACAGTTCAGGTTCAACAACAAACTCTTTTCAACAGTTCCCGCTATTAAGAACAATCTGTAAAAGAACACTAAAAAATGTTCACATTGTATGTGTACCTTTTTAAAAATTGCCTCTTCTTATTTCTCACTCATAACTCAATGAAACAACCACACTTTTGTTGAAAGTGTGGATTCTTAACTTTCAACCAAAACCACATTTGTGTTGAGGATGCAGAAGAGGGGATGCTGCATTATAAGCTGAACCTTACTTTTTTTCCTTTTTGATAGAGAAACAGACAGAAAAATGTCAGAATATGTCAATTCATGTAAATCAAATGTAACTGTAATTCATTGTGCAATTAAATCAGATAAATAACTATGTAACACAATTAATGCATTACTGTTCAACGGGTTACACAGGCTGAGAGAAAAGCTCAATTCAAATGACTCATTCCATAAACTGCAAAGCATGAATGCCATTAATCTATGAAAATCAAACTCAGACTTCTCTCAGACCAAAGCCAAATGAAAGAGTCACTTTCTCCCTGTAATCAAAACTGTGGGACGCTGTTAATAATGACTCAGAGATTACTGCCCCTATTGTTAATGGGTGCAGTTTGGACGTCCTGGATGGGGAGTCTCCCTTTGTTCCATTTTAGTGGCATTAGAGCACACCTGCAGTGTAACTGCTGACAGCAAAGATCTACAGGAGAGCCTTTATTTATATTACCCTGTGAGCCTGCCCTATTAAATATTCATCTCTGCAGCGTCGCTTGGGCTTTCGTGTTTCTCTCTTGGCTGCCAAGCGAATAAGCAGCGCACTTGGCATTGCACACTCAAGACACTGCAGAATGAGATGAAAGAGACACCAAGAGCGAGAGACACAGCAAAAGACAGAGAGAGAGAGAGAGAGAAAAAGTGAGTGAGTGAGAGAGAGAGAAGAAACAGAAAGGTCTCAAACAAATCAGCCAAGTTGGAATGCAGCAAAGCAGACATGACTCACTCCATGAACACTCAGCACAGAGACAAGCAGAGAATAGCAAAATGTATGTGCCTAATCAAGGACAGAACCAATAAATGTTTGTCTCACAGTAGGTGATGGGGGGGTTTGGCCCCCAGATTGACAGCTGGCAGTGGCGGCCCGTGTAGTCTGGCTAATTAAAAAGTGTCTGACATCAAAAGCGTGCCAGTGTGTTTTGAATCTAAGCTTTCAAAGTTACCCCAATTATTTTCTGCACCTCTGTTGGGCAGAAGACAAGCGTTATTAGCAGCACAAGGCCGAATGATCATTAAGCCAAGATGCTGAAAGACAACAAACTGCTTTCTAGACTATAAATTTGTTAGGGCTCCATGATATCTTTTTTAAACATTATTGTGATATTGGCCTAATCACAGATAGCCCTGTCACAATTATTACATAATCGCCTGATCACAATTATTTAAGCTGACGACAATTATGTTCCACAGTTGTTAGCTTTCAAAATGTCACAATAAAATGTAATGGGGTGGATTGAGACAAATACACATACAAAAGTATGTGGACAACCCTCCTAAATATTGAGTTCAGATATTTCAGGCACAGCCACTGCTAACAGGAGTGAAAAATCAAGCACACAGGCATGCAGTCTCCATAGACAAACACTGGCGGTAGAATAAGTCGTACTGATGAGCTCAGTGACTTTAAACACGGCTGCTAGATTCTACCCTGCTAGATTTGCCCCTGTCAACTGTAAGTGCTGTTGTTATGTAACAGAAGCATCTAAGAGCAACAACAGCTCAGAGACAAAGCTTAGAACTCACAGAGTGGGGCCACTGAGTGCTATAACATATAGCGCGTAATATACATATATATATATTTTTATTTTTTTTTCCCCCACTACAGAGCTCCTACATGCCAGCACAAGAATTGTGCATTGAGCTTCATGAAATAGGTTTCCCTAGCAGAACAGCTGCATACAAGCCTAAGATCACCAGATCGCCATGCCAAGTGCCAGGTGGTGTAAAGCACTCTGCCACTGGACTCTGGAGCAGTGGAAATGTGTCAAAATTTGTCTGATGGACAAATCTGGGTTTGGCCAAAGCTAGGGATTGCTACCTATGGGAATGGATAATGCCAACAGTAACCTCAATCTCAACCCTATTTAAAACCTTTGGGATGACCTGGAATGGCGACTGCGGGCCAATATGAGTGCCAGACATCACAAATGCTCTTTTGAATGGCAAATATTTCCACAAACATATTTCAAAATCTTGCGAGAGTGGAGGCTGTTATAGCTGCAAACGAGGATCCAACTCCATATTAATGGCCATTGTTTTGGAATGGGATGTCCAACAAGCTCATACAGATGTTACAGTCACGTGTCCACATACTTTTAGCCATATGGTGTACATGTAAATAAAAGAAAGCAGAAAATATATTAACTGAGACACTTCATGGGTTTTTATGAAAACAACAAAAGTTGTAACTTCTGACTGGTTCTGTAATACGAGGACAGTGATGAGTAATGCTTGCCTATTTAAGATAAGATTGTCGTAAGTTGGGAGCTACTAAGTATTGACAGCTTGAAAGCAAAATAGCTCATCAACCAATTTGGCCACTTTAAGCATGTACATTAATTTCTACATACAAGGAACAAAAAAGACAATAACCTGATCACCTAAACCACCTTTAACTGAATCACCTTTCATCGAAGCTAAAGTACATGCAAATAAATGGTAAAGCACAGTGAATAGTTATATAATAGTTACTTTTAGCCATAAAACCATCCATTTTCAGTGGTCATGCACTCTGGTGCTCTTGTGCAGTGCGTGTTTAGTTCCAGTGATGTGACAGCCATGTGCTCTGTGTTATAACATACACTCCGCCTACCTGACTTCCCAACACTGCAGTCTGCAGAGGCAGATTTTCTCATCGCTGCTGGTTCTTTTTGAACTCATAGCAGAACGGGGGAGGAAAGAGGAAGGAAAAACTGAAGCAGAAGAAAATAGTGCTAGAACGTGAGGAGAAAATTTAACAAGGCTAGGACGAGGCAGAGAGGCAGAGACGGAGAGCAGGAAAAACTGAAGTGCCTCACGTTCTCCCAAAAAGAATTTGTATGGATCTGTTTTTCACTGTAAGGCTGACAGCTAACAATATAAATTTGGAAAACCATCAAGGCCAAATGTGAATCAATAACTGGAATCAATGAATGTGGTCTCTGAGACCAGCCACAAATTGTGGCCAACTGGGTGACAAAGTCTGTAATGTAAATGTATGTGTGTTTATTCTTTAGCCTGACTGTATGAACACCGGGGCTGCATGATGTGGAAAACATATTACATTGTGATTATACTTACATGTGAAACATAAGACAGAATGCTACATGGTAAGATACTGGCATACTGGCAAGATACTGGTGTGCTAATGTCACAGGCAGGAGACCAGAAGCTAAAGAGATCAGCAAACCAGTATCAATATCTTACAGCATAGCAACAGCTTGTATTGAGATTATACCATATTTTTATTACTGATATTTCTTATTACCTTTTAAGACAATGATGACACAAAAATGATTAGCGAGAATTTTTATTTACATTCTGTTATGAAATTTACATTTTAATAGTTGTTGAGGTTACTTGTTAAATACTTAAAAACAGTTTAATAATATAGTCAGTGTGTCTGTTAGACACCAGCATTTATGTAATGCCTCTCAGCCAATCACATTGCAAGATCAGAACTACTTGTGGTACATATGCAATTTATTGTAACTCAGAGTGGCCTTGCAACATATTAAAAACATGCTGGTGGACCCTTCATGTGGCACATACTACATGGCCAAAAGTATGTGGACTTCTAATTAGTGGGGATTTTGGAATTAGTGGGGATTTTGCAGCTTAGGCCACAACCACTGCTAACAAATGTACAAAATTATACATTCAGTCTCCATAGACAAACACTAGCAGTAGAATAGGTTACACTGAAGAAATCAGCCTGTCAACTTGCTTTCCTGCTGATCCTGTCCCAGTCAACTGTAAGTGCTGTTATTGTGGAAATGTTTAGCAGCAAAAACAGCTCACCAATAAAGCACCTGGCCACCCAAGCTCACACAATGGGACTGCACAACACTAAAGTGTCCATTGTGTAGATTGAGTTTCCATTGCTGAGCGGCAGCTTACAAGCCTAAGATCACCACATACAACGTCAAGTGTTGGGCTGGAGTGATGTAAAGCACACTGCCATTGAACTTTGGAACAGCGGAAACGCATTCTATGGAGTTACGAACCATGCTTCACCATCTGGCAGCCTGACAGACAAATCTGAGTTCGATGGGAAAAAAGTTACCTGCCCAAATGTACAGCGCCGCCTGCGAAGTTTGGAATAATGGTCTGAAGCTGTTTTTCATGGTTTGGAGCCCTTAGATCCAGTGAAGGGAAATTTAATGCTACAGCATACAAGGCCATTCTTACAACTTTCTGGACGCAGTTTGGGGCAAGGCCCTTCCCTGTTTCAGCATGACAATGTGCCAATGTACGAAATGAGCTCCATAAAGAAATGGTTTGCAGAGTGGAAGAACTTGACTAGCCTCCTTAGAGCCCTGACGTAAACCTCATCCAATGAACTGATGAACTGCAGCACTGACTAAGAGCCAGGCCTTATTGCTCAACATCAGTGCCCTCGCTCACTAATGCTCTTGTGGATGAAGTAAAGAAAATCCAGAATTTCCAGAAGAGCGAATCTAGAATCTGTAATTCCCAGAGGAGTGGAGACTGTTATAGCAGCAAAGGGGAGACAAACTTCATATTTATGTCCATACATTTGAAATGAGATGTTCAACAAACACATACACACATATGTATGTGATGTGCATGTCCACACAGTTTTGACCACGTAGTCTTGTTTAATTGATCTGTAATATTGTGAGAAAAATATTCATGTTTGTTGAAACACGTGCCCTAATTAATCAAGGACATCTATAGAAACTCATGTATAACAACTGAGATTTGCTCAGGATGCTTACAACACACAATGACAAGTTTTTGCATATTGCAACATTCTGTGATGTGAGTACTGGAAAGACTAATATTGAAATAACGATTAACCAAAAATACATTATGCTGCCCTAATGCACAGTATATGTATGCAAAGTGAAGTTGTGTGGGTGGGTGTATGATACCTTTGGTTGGTCCTTTCCTGCTGAGCATGGCTTGCTGCTCTTCAGAGATATTGAGTCTCCTGACCACGTCGGCCAGCGCAGACTTGAGCAGCTGAATCTCATCCTCCTGCATCTGCACACGCTGCTCCAGAGATGCGATGCGGTCTGTCACCTCCATACTGCTTGCCGCAGAAGCACTGTCATCTACAACACATATACACACACACACACTCATATTCATATATATTCATATATATATATTTAAGCCATTTTTCGCCAGAATGATTCAGAATTATTGTTTAAGAATATAGTGAAAACACAAACGTGACTGTTAACCCAGGAGTGGAATACAGACAATAAAAGCAATACACCAAACCTTTTGGGGGGTTTTAATGTAGCTGCATAATTGTATTTAAGCCAAGAAATGAGCACATGCTTTATTGAACAGTATTGTAATTATTTGTAACCAATTCCAAATGCCAAATCAATGCAGCTGTATCACTATGTTGATGCATCACCATGTATCAATGCATTTTTATACCCCTTTATATAGAGGTACCCATCCACCATGCCGGCCTACAATTTATTCCCAAATATTGCTTGCATGATCTATTCAAATTATTGTGATTTATAAACACATGCTGAAGACAAAATAGCAAAAAGACAAAAACGTCTGCTTTAATAGGGCCAGCTGGTGTTGTCCTGACATGCCCCTTTCCTCCACACACAAACAAGTCCCTGGTTGTGTCATGCTCTGGCCTAACAGCTGCTGCCCATGAAACTGCTCTAATCTCTCTCTCTCACTCTCTCTCTCTGTCTCTCTCTCCCCCAGAACTACAACCCAGGTTAATAAACTGTAAAATGACATTGAAAATAAAGTGGCATGAAATATTAATAAACACCAGAGGTCTAATTCCCCTGGAGATTGACAATAGCATCTCTATTAATTATGTAAAAGGAGGAAGCAGCTGGTAATTAAGGCCATAAAAATGTTGGTTTTAAACAACGTTGTGTGTTGATTTATGTTATATTTAGTTAGTAAGGTAAGATCAAGGGAATGTATAACTGTTGTGCTTAAATATTTATTCAAAATTTTATGCAAAATTAAACAAAAACTTTTTTCTATATTTTAATATATGCACTGTATGTATATATTAGTTGGAAATCTCCATGTGACTACATCCCTATGTAAGTGTGACTGGATTAGTTATAAAGAATCGTAAGGTAGAAAATGTTGCTGTTGTGAAAGAGGATTTGACTGTTTGATGTCAGGTTTTGTTTAGCAAACGTTTATATCCAAAGGCATGACTACATTTCACAATAAGTAATGCTGTGCATAGCAACACATCAGTGATTTTAGTCCCTGCTTAGAAATGATACATACAACGGCAGTGCTTGACCTTGATTACTTTATTAGAAAGATTTTACAGATGTGCAGTCAGAGACTGTTTTGTCCCCATCTAGCCCTTCATCAGCGGTTTCTGACCACAGAGGCTGTCTTGCACTGTAAAAAATGAGAGGTCTGCTCAACTTAAAATGATATAGTAACTGATTACATGGCTTTTCTTGGGTTGACTCAACTTAAGGACACCAGAGTTCACCCAAATCAAACTTCTTAGTTTAGTCAAAAATTCTCCCAGCTACTGTTTTGCACTTAAAGAGCTCATCTCACAAAAAATACTAAAAGAAATGTCATTATTCTTCTTTAATTTTCACCACATTCTTATGTTTGTCCAAAATAGTTACTTAATACCAGAATAACTGTGATATTGTTTGACTAGATTATCATATCATGTCAATGTCTTCTTCATGCCTACTTTAGAGGCTTTAGAGGTTTAGAGTAGTTAAGCAGTGATTTTTGTCCTTTCTTATGTTAGACTAAAGTAGGCTACTCACATTTCACTAACAAGGTGTATACAGAGCCATTTATAATGAACACTAACAATGATTGTAATATCAATCCATACGGTATAATGTCCCTAACAAGATCATTTCAGTAATTAATTTAAATACCTTAAAACGAAAACAGTTTATAATGATTGCACGTCCCTATCTCAATTTGGCTGCATAATTATAAACCCACCTCACACACACAAGCACACACACATACACATACCACTGAACCCCTTTTAATGGCCTCCAGCCACTCCACTTAAAATTCAGCTGCCGCCGCTGCTGCATTAATGATTACAGTGATTACTGTACACCCGTGATTAATGCCCTTGTGGAGATAAGCTTCTTAATGTAACACTGTTTCGCCCTGTTAGATAAAGTCTGATAGCCTACCTGGCCACACTAGCACAACATACCCTACCAGAACGACTGTGTAAGTAGGCCTAGTTTCAAGACATATTTTCTGATTTTCACACCATTAAACCAAGCCTGATCTCACGACAAAGACTCATCTTCACGTTCAAATTGCGGTGACTGCAGCTGTTTGTCATCAGCATCATGCTGCTTTTCTGAAAAAAATCATTGTTATAATGTTAGATATTGAGCAGCCTAGTCTCGGTAGGAAAGCACTCAATGATATGATAATGACATGCTATTAAAGATGTTAAAAGTGAAAGATGTAAAGTGTCAAAAGTGAAAGATTAAAAACACTACGAAAGGCACTAAATGAACAGTACTATCATTATTCTGTCCAGGACACCACGACACAGCCTAGGCACTAGCTTTTCATGGTCTGTGAGGTGCTAATGTAATGGAAATTTGGCAATTTGCACAGTCATATTCCGTTCATTTGCTGATATGTTAAATAAATATGCCTAAAAATGAACTGAACAATTGGGATATTTCATGATAAAAAATGGAAACCTTATTTAATAAAATTGTCACATGAATGTTTTGGATTGCATCCAGCATCTCACTGTGCCTCTAGCTCTAAATTAAACATCTGTGCACATCATTTTCACTGTATTCATTATGTTGTGTACAGAACAGACATAATATTGCTTGAATTTTCAAAGCTGTTTATGAGTTAATTCTAAGATGCTAAGCCTAAGCATGCCGCGGATGCTAAGAGCGTAAGTAATGTGTGGCATTGTGGACAAGGGCACACAAAGGGAAGAGCAGATTAATTACCGCACAGTTTCTGAAGAAAAAAGATTCAATGCAGTATAAATGGCTTCTAGAGAGACAAAGGCTTCCATTCCATCTCCAAAGTAAGTAATGGCTTTTTTTGATGATGCAATAAAACTTTGATCGAAACCTTCCCACATGAAAAAGGCAGAATCTATCCGTTTCTCTTTAAGCGCCCTAAAGCAGATTTGTTCTCTCTAAGCACAAAGACAGTTTTTATCCTTGTGAGGCCACTGGAGACACAGTACTAATAACTAGTACAATGGAAGACTGTCTCCACCCAGATAGCTTGCAAATTGGGTCCATTCTGCTCGTGCACTTTTCTCGCAGCACAGTACGGTTACACAAAGCATCTCCACACTTTACATAATTACAAAAGAAACGCTGAAAGGAAAGGACACACCATTAAACACATACTTAATGATATCCTTCATAAAACACAAATGCACCCCTTAAAATGATCTCGGCCGTGCATGATTGCCAGAGTGAATTAGGAAGCCTGTCCTTTGACCACATTAGAAAGCATTAGAGGAAAACATTTAAGTCCAGCCTGATTGCTTGGATGCAAATAGCAATCCTCGCCCATCATTTAGAGAGGATACCAAGACTGGCAAGCATCCATATCCTGTAGTGCATGGTCCATAAAGCTAATAAATTGGCTAAATTTAGAATGCACTTCCTTTTCAATCATGTTCATCCTCTTTCCACCTCTGTTGCTTTCCAGTAATTTCACTTTCTCTTTTCCTGCAATCTATTCGGATATCAGCCCATCTTAGGGCCCTCGTATTTGTGCTGGTGGGAATGTCTCTGACAGTCCACCAACATCTGCTGTGCCATACCCCACCCCCCCACATCTTCTCTGTCTTATTTTCCTCCCTCCTGAAACTGCAAAGATTAAAATGCCCTTTTTCCCACTACAAGATGGTATAGATTGTGGGGTTCAATCTCCACCTGAAACAGCTTGCTCTTCAGTGCTGCTGCTTGACAGCCATTACCATTTCAGAGGTTTACTGCCTACTGTCTCAAATCTAAAGTTTGATCTAATTCAATTCCGCCAAGTCATGGCATGGCAATCATTATGAAGGTTTTCCCTGTATTAAGAAAAAGAACAGAAAACTATTTGAATCAAAAACAAACTTATAACCAGTGCTGGGGGTTGCGCAGTATAAAGTAACATGTTACAGTAATTTGATTACTTTTTGCTGTATCAAAGTAGTGTGACGCATTACAGCTTTAATTCCTGTAATCACATTACAGTTATTGACTTATTAAGAACTATGTTACCTGTGTTACTCACATGTGGCAATATTAAAAACACACAATGCATTTAAATTGCAAATTTCTTCTATTTTGATTATTCCTATCCATCATTTAAGGCTGAATGATTTTGGTAAAATATCTAATTGCAATTTTTCTGACCAATATTGTGATTACGATTTAAATTGCAATTGTATATAACTGAGGTATAAACTGAGGAATGGGCTTTTTTTTGGCTAAGAAGACCAGCATATATTTTTTTCTCGCTTGAGATTTGAACTGATAACACAGGCGCCAGCCTGCCAGTTGTCTGTGGTTGTGATGTCACAGCAGTTCACAAGCTCCATGTTATGACACTGCTGGATAAAGATCCCCATGCTGAAGAGGAGAGAACTGCAACCTCATCTAAGCAGACCAGACTTGATTTTCATTCAGGAACAGCTCTGTAAGTTTTACATTTAATTCAAGAAGATTTTCAGCAATATTTTATTTCAAGGCAGCTGTTTTTGAACTGTTTCTGCTGGCCAGTTTCTCAGTTGCAACAACAGCCATTCATAATTTTAATCAGCATAACAGGCTCTGTCTTGTTCGAAGTCAAGGGCAGTGACAAGCCTTTCAAGTGATGTTTACTGGGCCTGGCTATTTTTTTCTAAATAAATTACTGAAAATGACTACCAGGTTTTCCTATGTATGTTTAGTACATGTTTGTATGGAATTTACAGATGAGAAGTAATTAGAAACTTGTAATGGACTACTTTTTATGGGTAACTACCCCAACACTGCATATAACAGAAAGCACCAAAGGACAGATGCTGAACTATTAAAGTGTTTTGAGTCAGCAAGTTTTGTTCTTTTCCAAATAACAG